TCCTAGTCGAGCTGGCGAGATTTATCGTGCCACCTGTACAAGTCCACAGGTTTGGATAGATTCAGGGGCGGCCGCCGATGTTGTAAATTTCTAGACTTCATGCTAGCCTAGATCTCTTGCAAGTTGGACGACCGTCATGGCCTATTTCCGCAGGTCACGTTCGTAATGGAGATATGCGTGTGGGGTAGGCTTTGCGATAGATAGAATCACCGTCGTGGGGGGAGAACAGCTCCAGACCGGTAGTCCAAACTCTGCTTATGCTACAACGCCCCAGGGGTACTTTTGTTGTGCTCTTGTTAACTGCCGTAGCAAAAAAAAAGGATCTGCCGCCACACGCCTGTAATAACTTGTGTATTTGCATCCAGTTACTTGATTCAGTTTTTGCTTTGTTTTATTAAATTTGTGATATTCAAATATTTGCATTGACTCCAAACAGATGTATAGAATCTCCGTTTGTTCGTTTTTCATATGTGTATGTTTGTCAATTTGCGAGTGTTTTCTTTCATATCGTATCTTAAGGTGTTTGAAATGTAATATGTCCGGGAATAAAACAAAGGGGGTTTTGCGCTGAGGAGTAAATCTTCGCAGCGTCTTTCCTCCGGTGAGGGGGTGCCGTACTCCCCCCTCCAAAACAATTTTGTCTATTATTTCTTGCGCTCTCAGCTCACATGCAGTATATTGCTCACTTGTATGAAAGAACGTCTTCCCGCCATTTTTCAAAAACAAAAACAAAAACACAGCGTAGGTTCCTATTTGTTAGACGATCATAGCCAAGGCCAAACTTTGAATTTTTAAATTTTCGCGGGCCTTTCAAACTTTTTCAAGGTCCATTTAAAGGCGGGAAGTTTGGGTTATCACAATGTTATTATTATTATTATAGTTTTGATTAGCCTTAAAATCTGAAATTTAATGGTGAATAAATTATTATTATTATTATTACTGGTTGCTTTAAACAATTAGGTTTGAGAGTTTATATCGTGGACTGTCCCTAGCTTATGCCAAACAAAACACATGATAAACAAATACAAGCGTTGCGAGGAATATGCGTCTCGGTGATATAGTTTTCCACGTTGCGAGATAATATGTCTGGGTGATGTGATGATGATAACGATGATAACTGCCTAAGGGGAAAATTTAATCCCCACGTCCCTCAGTGCACGATATTATGAATTCTACCGCACTATCACGGTTCTTTTCCCAGAGTGGGACAACGTTAGGTTAATTTAACTGCCGCAAATGAACTATTAGCAGTCTTGTGTGAGGAATTAAGAAGTGTTATAATGTAAGACTTAAGTGAATTTCATGAAATCTCCTAGCAAGTTCTTTATCTGAACGATGTCAGGACCGTTAAATTGTGTTAGAACTAGTTAACGATTAAAATCCTAACATGACCTGTGAATTTACAAACAATAAAACAAAAAAAATTACACCACGAGTTAACGTCGGTCGAAAATTCGCATATTTCTGCTTGGAAAAACCGCAAGAATTAGCTACACGTGTTTGGGAAACTGTGGCGTTCTCGTCGTTACGGTTAATTTTCGCTAAGCAAAGGCTCCCCATTTTTATTAACTACCAAACCAACTAAATTTAACCTAGCTGACTCACCACGTGGTTTCACTCACACTAAACAGACAAAAAAAGTGACACCTCTCACCCCTTTAGCAACCAAAATCAACTTCTACCAAGCCTCTCAACAGAAATTCCCGCCCTAAGAGAGCTACCAACTACCAGAAAAGAACTAAACGTGCACTTACATGGTTGCTTATGTTTAACGAGTTTCTTGATTGCATTTTTTTTTTAATTCAAATTATTCAAATGTGATTTCGTCCCGTTGTTTTTTTCAGCGCCAAATTTTAATTTAAATCTGGTCACCACAGTGTTAAGCCAATTAAATATTTAGGAATACAAATGGACGATAAATTGACACTTAAATTGCATGTCAGTTACGTTATTAAAAAAATTGACAAAAAAAATTGCGTTTTTTAAAACGAATTATGTACAACCTAATGCAGTATCAGATTGTGCCGCCGAGACACCGAGAAATTTTCTGGTGGGACCCGATTCCCCGAAACCGTCTACTCCTTTTTTTTAGATAGAATTATTTACATTTTTTACATACGCAGGATGTTATAATTACAAATGCAATAAATATTCCTAAAAATATAACAGATACATAAAAAACGGTATATGTAAATACTAAATAAGAGCATCTTTTTATTTTCAGAGCGTAAATTCAGGACGAAACAGTAGGTCGCCCGTTTCCGTCTATCTATCTGTCTGTATGTCTGTTTGCCGTCTGTCCGGATTTTTATTAGACAGATAATCTCCGAAATTACTGAACCAGTTGTTAAATTTTATACGTGTATTACGAATATCGTGTAGATGATCAAAATTTGGCTAATCATCCCTACCAACAATTTGTTGACGTCATCTCCAAAATTTACAGTGTAACGGGCGATAAATTTACTTATTTTTGGAGATGTTGGTATGAATCAGAACAATCGTCATTGTCATAAAAATCAAGGTTGTCCTTGTGAAACTTGGATTTTATGATTTCACACCATTCTAATCAAGGTTTATAATTTCACAGTTAAATATTGGCGCCGTTTGGCTGGACACGATGTCTTTGTCCAGTTTTATAATTTCATGGTTTAAATTTGTTAATTTTAACAAAAAGCACATTTTGCCACTAGAAATCTTCATATTACTGTTAATTAAGCCTAATTTGGTGGAAACACAAATACTTTTACGACTCCCCAAATAAACTGGTAACTTGTAAACAATTTTGCGAAAACAAGTCCTTTGGAGGGGTCTTTACTTATAAAAGATCGAAAGATCCAAAAAAGAGCAGAGTCCTCTAGCCAGTTGCCTGTTTAGTGTGTGTTTGTGTTGTGACACAAGGGGGTAAGTGTTGATATCTTCAAAAATGTGGATGATTTCATAAAAAGTTCAAAGTTTTGTTTTTATTAATATTTTTAAAGTTCAATTTAATTTTGATGATAAATCGCCCTTTGTATTCTCGATTGGATAACGTTTTGAGATTTATATCTATTTTTAAAGATTAATTTGCATTGAAATTATTAGTTAAACAGTTATATTGTTTGATGAACGCTGACCACGCAACTACTATAATGTTCCTTACCAAATTTTTGAGTTGTTACCAAATTTTGAGTTATGTTACCAAATTTTGAGTTATGGTACCAATTTTGAGTTTTGTTATATTTTTGTTTTAGATTTTTTTTAAATGTTTGTTTTATTATGCTTTCAAAGATTTAGTTTTAAATTTATAAGGTTTTCTTGAATTTATTTAAAAATGTTTTAATACTGAAGTTCATTTTCTGATAATTATATTTGCATATTAAACTACACTACAATTTATTGTTATACCAAATTATTCTCATATGACTAAATCTCTTTTGTACATACTCATTTCTAAATTAAATATAATTATTCATTAAAGCAAAATGCATATACTTGAAGTAGTCCCTCTGATCAGTCACTAGAATGTATTACCATCATCACGAACCAGCCTACGAACAGATAAATAATATTTTCACTATATGTATGTCGGGCACAAGGTCCACGACAAGAGTTTTACAGTTTTATATATAATAAATTAACAAAAGTTAATTTTGAAAATCTCCCAAGCCCGTCACAACAGTAACATTTAGTAAATTAAATGTTATTTAAATTTTATAAAATAAGATACATGTGCTTTATGAACCCCTGTTGAATTTTTATCTTAGACATCCAGATTTTTGGAGAAAAAAATCAAAATTACAACATATTGTAATTTAACTTTGAAACTGCTTTGAAATTTTGGAAACGTTTTAGGTTATCGTAAGCATGGAAAACCGTTAATCAAATTACCAAATATAATTTTTGGTGATTCCAAAAGCATTGTTTATTATTTTAAATCCAATTCTCATCTAAACGACTCGGGTTTAAGGATTGAATTATAGAACATTTTAGATGAAATTTCTAAACTGAATTCAGTAGAAAGTAAAATGGTACGTTTCACCTCACATTTTTTTTTCATCTATTTAAGCTTTTTTTACCTTTCATCTATTTTAAGGTACTTTATCATGTTTGTAAGCAAACTGGCCAATTTTGACGTTGAAATTTTAAAAACTCATTTTTTTGACGTTTAACCCCATTTTTAAGGTTATTTTTTAAAAAGTTGTGAATTTCTAAAGATTTTGATCATGATTCCAGCGATCCATATAGCTGACTTTGAGATTTTTATAAAAAAAAAGTAAAAAAAAAACACTTCAACCTCAAAACTGGTCTGCTAAAAATGATAGAGTACTTTATAATAAATTAAAAAACAAAATTTCTGGTGGAACGTATTACTTACTACTAATTTGTTCCTTTTTTTTGGTGTTATATTTAATTTTATAGGATTGCATACTCTTGCATATGTAAGTCATGAATTCGTGGCAAGTTTTCACCCTAGACATCCAGATTTTTGGGAAAAAAAAACAAAACTGTAACATTTTACAACTTCATTATTAAATTGTAAAACATAAATAGTCGAAGTTCAACATATACTGAGAAATTGAAATTGTCTACATTTTCCCCCTTAGTTATCGGCTTTAACTATATTTAAAGACGTAGGGGTTGCGGGGATGTTAATTACGCCACTTTACAAAGATTAACAGTTATATAACGAAAATCGCAGAATCTAATTTTCTAAAGAAGCGGAATTTATTGGACCATACTTCAAAGGCGAGGAAAGTTCTGCCCAAATCACCTTCCACAATTTTTCTACTAGCTCTGTTTTTTTTGGTAGCGTCATCAAAATTCTAAAAACGGTGATGATGATCAGGATTGTGAAAACAAGTTGAAATACACTTCAGAACTCATAAAATTCGACAAGAATATGTAACAAATGATAGAAAGTACTATTTATTTTTCCTTCCACAATGTAACAGATATTGGTAATGGTCGATTAACTGACATTAAAATAATTTAATAACAAATACAGCTACAACGGAAAAAATGGAAACAGTTTGTATAAACACAACAAAAAAATTTTAGTATTAAATGCACAGTGTCTTTTAATCTAATTTAACAAATTATTGCAACAACTGTTTCTCCCCCTATTCTAATTTCTATGGTTTGTGTTTCAGCTGCAGATGCTGCTTCAAATTCCCTCTTTGCTTAGCTTTAAACGAGCACTCGTCGCACTTAAACCATCGAATATCTTCAGGCGCTGTATGTTTGTACAACAAGTGCTTCTTCAAATTAGACTTCAACTTAGTTTTAAACACACAGTGATCACATTCAAACCACTTGATCGCCTCATCCCTCACATGTTTAACCTGAAAATGCCGCGTCAGAGCATGGCTCCACTTTGTCCTAAAACCGCACTGAAGACAATCAAACCACTTGAAATCCTGTTCGGTTTTTCTAGGGCACTGATGTTTTTTCACTGACTGTTTACATTTGGCTTTATACGGGCACAAATTACATCGAAACCACTGAATCTCATCTTGAGGCAGATGCTGAGTCATGAAATGCTCCTTCAAACCTGACTTACGTTTGGCTTTGTATGGACAACGCTGGCATTCAAACCACTTAATGTTTTCGTGTGCTGTGTGCACTGCTGTGTAGTGTCTGTTGAGAGTACCCTTTTGTTTCGCTTTGTAGGCGCACTGATCACATTTAAACCACTGACTTGAGGCTGAGAATATTTCGTGTTGATAGTGGATGTGTTTTTTCAGCACTACTTCCAGTTTTGTTTTAAAGAGGCAGTAAATACAACTGCGCCACATTACATTCTCGTCTGATGTATGTTTTACAAAGATGTGGGTTTTTAAGTAATTTTTGCGTTTAGTTGTGAATGAACAAAATGTACATTCGAAGTGTTTTATGGCTTTGACACGTAAAGAAGGTGTTTGTGTGAGAATTGGAGTATCACATTTAGTTCTGATATGTTGGAGCCAAAATAACATCGAGTATGTTTTAAAGTAGCAACTTCTGCAAGTGTAACTTCTGAGTAGGCAGTCTATTTTTGAGAAATATTCTGTTAGTCCGAGGTTTTCGCAGTGGACGTCTTGGATATGATCATTTATAAATGCCACAAAATTTGTTTGGTACTTACAACCTTTGCACTGGTACATTTCCAGGCTGTCTGTTGCACAGTTAAATGTTACTGATTCTAAAGCAGAATTTTGGTAGAAATGATTACCAGTTAGTGTGCAGGGATATTCAGAATTAACGTTAACGGTGCAAGGTGCATACTTTTTTGTTATACTTTCTGTGTCCTTGTTTCCTAGCATTTTTTTTTTTTTTTGAAATATCTAAAATTAATGTTATTCTTGTTAGAGTCTTTTGACGATTTGAATTACTTACTCGATCGCAAATTCAATAAAATACAAATATCTACAACATGACATTACATGATACGTTACGTATTTGTTTTGTAAAATTTGTTGAATATTGTTGAGGTTAGCTGATCAAATTGTTGTCAGTTGTCACGTGACTAACTCACGTGGTTGTCCTGTCATTAATCTCTCACTCAACTGTCACTGTCAGCTGTCATTTGTTATTATCGTCGAAACAGGTTAAGTCGGTGTTTTGAGGCAAATATAAAGATTTTATTAACATTTGTAACAAAAAACGTGTTTATTATTGTGGAGGTTTTAAAAGAAGCATAATTGCAAGTGTTTTACACGCGTACATGAAGTATTATGAGCTGGTTTTCGGTTTTTACATATTGTGAGGTTATAAATTTGTACAAATTCGCTTATTTTGCAAATTCTTGACAAAGTTGATGCCAGTCAACATGACCACGAATGCAAGTTCGTTGAAATTAAGTCGAGATATTTCTTTACTTTATTTAAACGAAAGATACTCAGATGTCACGTTAATTGTTAACGATGAACGATTGTATGCACACAAGGTATGTAATAAGCGTTATTTGTCTTCGTTGATGCATTAACATGGTTTTTTTAGATGATACTTGCGGTGCGAAGTGAGTATTTTGAAGCACTTTTTTATGGAGGAATGCAAGAGTCTTTGCAGGTATGGTGAACACCTTTATACCGTGTGGTTGATTGTTGATTTTAATTTACAAACACAAGACCATTGAAAACATTATTTGAGTCAAATTTAAAAAAATAGCTTCTCAATAAATAAACCTTATCAATATGGCATTTAAAAAATCTTGTACTGGTTTTCCGTACGTCTTTAACGTCCAGAAACCAAAAATTGCTGGACTGGTCTGGCAAAAACCTAGGGACTTTTTTATAATTATCGATATCGGTTGGTACTATTGCTTTTTATTGTCTTTGACAAATGGGTTACCTGGCATGTTTTTGTAATAAAGCAAAGTTTTTCTAAATTTTAAACTAGAATACCCATTTAAGGTAATTGTTAAAATCATTTACATACACCCAGAGCTGTTCAGTACTTCAAGTAAAAGTACTTGAAGTAATACTTCAAGTACTTTAAGTACTTCAAGTACTTTACTTGAAGTACTTTTATATTTAGGTACTTGGTACTTGGTACTTGGAGTATTTCTAAAATGTACTTGAGTTTAGTACTTGATTTTGCCAAGTACTATAGTCCAAGTACTTCACTCAGTATTTTAAATATTTTTGAATTACTTGAAGTATGAAAGTGAAAATTTCAAATACTTTAGTCTCTATTTTACGAAATTTTCACATCTCAAAATAGGGTCTGTTAAATATTTGAAGTTATTAATTCAATTATTTGATTAGATGTATTTTTATAGTAAAATCGTGTTTGTTTCCTGTGAGGTTATATTTTGATCTGTGATTGTGGATATCTTATTCACAATATGACGTACATTTCATAGGTACTTGCATAATGCCGATAGATAGGTAGGTAAGAAAATTAATGTCATAAATATGTCATTTGAGAGTAGATGACGACAGCAGAAGGGTCGGAGATCTGTGTAAAATTTTCAGCGATGTAAAGTTGTGAATATATGAATTTTGTCTTTTTTGTATTTTGGCCTGGAACTTAAGTTTTTCAGTATCCTCCCAGTACCCCAAAGGGGATGGGGTTTGTTGACGTACCTGCTAAAGTGCAAGGTCGCATTTGAAAATATTTGAGAAATGATTCAGTACTCGTTCAAAAAGATATTTATTCTTTCATTAGTTTATTAACCCCGCCGTGTATTTGTCAGTAAGAAGCCTGGTCAGGGCGGAGAACTTGGCAGGGGATTATCCCTTTTATTATAATAGCAATAGCTGATGGCAGGTACAGACTTCCATATTCGCCTCTTCCTCGTAGAATTTAAACACAATTTTATGTTAAATATTTTGCAGTTTAATTTTCTTTATCATGTTAGACACTCGTTTTTTACCAAATTTTCTTTTTTTGTTTATACATTGTTCAGCCATATAAACTTAGTTTGTTATTACTACTTATATTTTCTCACATTACAGTTTCAAATAATCTGTTAAATTGTATGAATTATTTGAACACCAACAATTTAAAAAGACGTAAGGCAGAAAAACAATGATTTTAAAAGTCACACTAATTAGTGTCATTTATCTTTCCTGTGCGGATTTTATTTATTACCGTACAACAACTTTACGTATTACATTGCATCGCTATTACATAAACCCAATATTGTTCAAAATGAAATATATTTTGTGAAACTCGGCTCGTAGTACTAATGTTTTTTGTAATCCAGTTGATACGACCATGATTGTATGGTTTTGATGAGTACCGAATTGTACTTTGGTATTGCTCGAAGGACCTTTGTTTTGTTGTGTGCGAAATAATAGACAGCGTTCGGTTTCGATGTTTAAATACAGGACGGTTACAGAAGTACTGAATTTACGTTTGTATTTACAATATCAGGTAAAGATACCCAAAAGGGTCAGTGGCCGCTTCCGTAAATGGAACAAAATACATATTCACATTATAAAAAAATACAAAGTTAATGAAATTCGCGATTAGTTAGTATAATTGCCTATATAAATACACCCCTACGAAATATTTTAACAATAATAAATTTTATACATATTTACCTGAATTTTCGCAAAAGCTGTTGTTAGGCATTCCCTGAAGTCATTGTAGTTACTAATGTCATCTTCTTTGGGTTTTCAGGTAAAAATAAAAAATAAGCCAATCGAAAATGTAAAGGAAAATTCTGAAAGTATTGTGGCATTAGAGGAACAAAATTTTGTATAAATGGACGGAACAGCATTACGAACCTATTATTTGTGATTTGTCAGTGTAAAGTTACATACTTAGTTAGACAAACATCGTAGTGATTAGTGTTTACTATTTAGTCACTGTAGGATTTAGGTTAATTTAATAATTTTTAGAATAGTAAATACGTAAGTGGTAGACATATATATTGAGGAATATGGGGCATTCATTCCAAGAAAATTCTCAGCATTTTTGGTAACCGCAAAAGTAAAAAACGACTAATTACTTTGATCACCTTGATATTTTTCAAGAGTTATAGTTTTCGCTGAAAATGGACTCTCGTTTTAGGCATTTTATTTTTTATTTAAAAAATTCATACGTTTTTTTTGAAAATGCAGCATAGTGACTTAAACATTTTTATGTCACGAGCATGTACCTATATGTATCGCACTGCTCTTAAAATTTGTTTCAAAAAAATTTGAGTTTCACAAATCCGGCCCTGTGCACTCTCACAATGGGTAATGATTAAGGGTGCTGTCAACTACCCACAAACTTAAACATGGAACCGGTTCATAAAATTCATATATTTTTAACACAACTTTATTAAAAAATCAGAACGTTTTGGTGGTGAACCAAAATTCAAAATATTAAAAAAAGGCAACAAGCCTGAGAAAATACCATACAGCGCCGATGTTTTTGTTATAAATTAATAGTAAGCATACATAGACACCGCCGTCATGTATTTTATTTTAAATTTTAAATTAGAAATATACGTTAATTTTGTCGAAGGCATTGTGTCAACAGAAAGAGAAAAATATTTCAAAAGAATATTGTTTATAAATAACATAGTATTATTAATAAGTGAGCTACCATTCTGCATTTAAGTTGATGCTTATGCAATTTTCGTTGTAGCGAAATATGTATTATTGTATACTTAAATTCTGAGTATTAAAAAATTCAGTTCTAAAAATATATTAAGCTTTTTTAAAAAAACAGGAAAAGTTATCTAATTCTACAGTATTTCAAATAATTAGAAAGTACTTGAAGCATTTTCAGTACTTCAAGTATTTGTAAGTACTTGAAGTATACCTCCAGTACTTCAAGTACTCGTAAGTACTTGAAGTAATGTACTTGGCTTGTACTTCAAGTACATCTGAAAAGTACTTGATACTTGAAATACTCTTGCTGAAAGTAAGTACTTGGTACTTTACTTGAACATTATTTCAAGTAGTACTTTGTACTTGGTACTTCAAGTACTTTTTTTGAGTACTTTGAACAGCTCTGCATACACCCTATTTTCTGCCATTTCCATAATTATATACGTCAAAATCAATATAATGAATAACAATGATATTTATATAAAAATTTGCACAAAAAATCTTGTATATGACTATTGCTCTGGTTTTTATTATAATATGCAGGTTTAATTAAGAAACAAAGCAAAATATAAACCCCGCCCACCCGCCCCAATTTCAATTGTGGTGATTTTTTTATTCGCCGTGAGCCCGAGGGCGGAGTTTAATTACAAAATCCTGATTTTCCTGCAAGAAATTATCATTTGAAACATATGTTTAAGTATCGTGTTATTGTCATAAGTGGGAGGAGTTACGTAGCCCACTTTTTCTGAAAATGATGTTTTTTCCAACAATATGGTAATTCTTAAAACATGTTTTCGTAATTTCTTGTACAAAAATATGAACTTTGCATTTAAACTCCGCCTTCGGCTCGACAACTAATGAAAAATTCATCACAACTGAGATTAGGGCGGGTGGGTGGGGCTTAATCTTTGCTCTGCTTTTTTCCTTGATATATGCAGGTTTAATTATGAAAAAAGCAAGATATAAGCACCCCCCACCCGTCGCTATTTCAATTGTGGTGATTTTTTTATTCGCCGTGAGCTCGAGGGCGGAGTTTAATTGCAAAATCCTGATTTTCCTACAAGAAAGTATCATTTGAAACATATGTTTAAGATATACTGTGCCAACAGTTAACACCTTTATTTTAACTTAGAGGGGTTATGAAAAAATAAAAAATAAAATTGGCAAATTTAAATTTTATCATTTTTCGAAGATTCTGTATTTGTTCGTATATACTTTAGGGGCGAGGGAGGTTCTGTCTAAATAACTTGTGTAATGTTATCGTGGTCATGTGTACGTAAACTAAAATTACGAGTATACTGTGTTCTGTATAGTCCAATTTTGTAGACCGAAATTCATCTTAGCGACGTATCATCAAACACAGCATTTAAATTGTTACTAAAATACATCTACGGTGGTTAGTTTAGCATTTATAGTTTAAAAACTACTAGTTTAACGTTTTCGATTTTTGTAGCATGCATACCAGAGGTGACCTCAGCAAACACAGACCTCAATCTAGAGGTGTTGATTTTAGCACAAAAATATTGTATGCTTGATCTACAGGATGGCATACTTGAACAACTGAAAACAGTAATAAATCTAGACAATATTTGTTCTATTTTGAATGTGTCTAATCAGTACAGTTTTATGGAAATACGAGATACGTGCCACCATTTTGTAGAAAGCAAGCCCCTGGAATTTTTACGAGTTACTAATTTTAAGGATTTGTCAAAGGTAAGAAGACAAAAATCTTCGGCCTGGTGTGAACACAAAATATGTAAATATTTTTTTTTTGTGTTATTATTTTAATACATTCTTGTTTTTTTCGAAAATCTGTATTTTATTTTTATATCCACTAAAATTTGATTGTGTGCCATGAAACATTAGTAAACTCGGAAACTGGTTTCAGAGAGAAAATAAAAGAAAAGAAAGTTTTTTTTTTTCGTAATAAAAATTTGTTGTGCGACATTTACTGTATACCCTGTTGTGCTGTCCAGACCCGCATCATCATATCATAAAATTTTAGTGCATATAAAAATAACGTCCTGAGCATACTTTTGTTTTGCACGGTGTGTTTTCTACTGTATGTTATTGCTTTAAAATATTTTTCAAGAACGCGGTTACTTTCAATGCAGGATTCACTTAGCGGTGTTTTAAAAAGGAGCACTTTTTATGCACCCGAAATAGAAATATTCAATGCCGTGGTACAGTGGTGTCAAAAGAACAAGTTTGTAGACGATGAGGGTCGATTAGATGAATCTGTTTTACGATGTGTTCGCTTGTCGTGGATAGAACCGCACAATCTTATGTCAGTCGTGTGGCCCACCGGATTGGTAAACAATGAGTATCTGCTTAAATCGATTGCTGAAAGTATGGGAGTTAAACAAAAAGAAGTATCCAGTAGGGGAATTCGCAGTAAGTTGTAATTTTCCTAAAATGAATTCCAGTGAAATTCGTTTGTAATTTAGTATTGAACAAAAATGTCGCCACTCCGGCAGACAAAGCAGAAGTGCTTTCAAATAAAGACTCTTGCATTTTGGAAGGCCCATTCAGAGATTTAGATCTTTGTGAAAGGGTGAAGATTAGAAATAAGAAGGGTGTAATTATAAAATTAGGGGTTCCCACGTTCATTAACTATATTGGTTTGATGCTATATAGTAAACACGATGAGTATGTAAATTTAGTACCGCGTACTTTGCTTACATTTACATTTAATTTTTAAGATGCTACTGCTACTACATTGAAGTTTCCGTGGACCGCCAAAATTGGAAAAGGATAATTGATTATTCCCAATATGTGTGTAGGGGCGTTCAGTACTTATATTTCGATGAGGTGGTTGCACTTTATATTAGGGTAATGGGAACATACAGTTCAGTGGATGTAAGTTACTTGCGCAGTTTTTTGTTAAGAGTTAATTGACTTTGTTTTAGGAAATTCGGATAATGGGGTTTAGAGCAAGTTATAAAACATCCTGTCCACAGTCAGTAAACGGTATCACCCGCCCAGTGCACAACATCGTTACCAAAAAAATGGGAGCACTTATTATTTCAGGGTAAATAAATTTTTGGGTTCGCTTTTCTGATTTTAGTTTTTTTTTTATATAATGGTATTAAAAATTGAGCGTTTCTGTGTAGATTACAAAACGTGACGTCACTTGTTTGCTCGACGTAGAAAATGTGTATTGATGGTACAGGAAGATCAGATTTTCGCTATCGCTGAATTTTTCTTTAGTTTTCAGCCATAGTTACTACAATTATGTATTTGAAATTTACTTAATTACTTCAAACTTGATACTGCCTTTTATTCTAATTTTGTTTTGATACTAGAATGAATGGGGACAATTTGATATACAACGTCAAAAGAGGCAGTCTTAATGCTAGTTTCGCTTATCACTGGATACATACTGACACTGAAATTAGGAATATCACAGTGCAATTTAGTAAGTTTTTTTTTCTAACCAAACATACCAACTTATTTTTTAATTTCTAGATCAACCGTACCTAGTGTCAAATATCTTATTATTATTATGTCATGAGAACAACAGGACTTACAAATATTATATCGAAACTTCGGTTAACACCCGAGACTGGGAAATGTTAGCAGATTACAGAAACGAAGTCAACGTTCAACCGACAATTTCGTTTGAAGAAAGGGTAGTCGTTTTTATTCGTTTTGTGGGAACTTTAACGTCGGCAAATGATGTTTGTATATTAATTTCCTATTAGAAAATTAAAAAAGTTAAACAAACATTTGTTGCAGAATGAATTTCGAATCTGTCTTTTCGTGTGCCCAGCCATATCTTCTGATATTACAAATTTGAGTCAAAGTAGTATACAAGAGTAACAGAAAAAGCATGTTTTTAATATTTTATACATTATGGATTTATACTTACTAGAAATATATTTTAATTATAAATTTTACCCATACTTGAAATAAAGTCTTGCTTTTATTACAGTCTTTTAATATATAATTCCTGCGCAGATAAGGGAAAACAAATTTGCAGTAACATCACTAGTGTTATAATTTATTACATAAAAAAATATCAATAATTTATCATGACACACTCTCTTGCGCACCATCTCGAACTTTCATTATTTTTCTAGCAGCCACTGCCGATTTATTTTTTTCAGTGCCTGAATCGTTATCCGAACTCAGATAATTATTAATTATGAGTAATGGTACTAATTATAATTTTGTTCCAAGTGTGTTGAATATGGGAATACTCAATATGAAGTGACTGCACAGGTTTTCCACGTTGCACGTCATTACAATCAACCAAATCCATTTGAAGGATTAACAATGCCGTCATTAGAGTTTTACGAATATATTAAAAACATGGATAACGTCTTATGTGAACATTTTCAGACACTGGCTTTAAGTTCAAATGTAGGGCTTAAGTTAAAGGAGCTGCTAGCAACTATTAATTTCACCCCCCCCCCCCCCATGTCCCCCATGTGATAATTTTCCAATAGAGTATTTGCTGTCTTTGTTTGTAAGAATGAGAATATTCCATTTAACAAAATTTGCCAATATGGAGCTTTTAAAATCGGCACGACGTGAGATCGAATAATAATTTTACGACATCTATAAAAGTTGTTTCGTATTTAGGATGCACCTTTTAAGTTCTTATTCTAGTCATGTTCTATGTATTTATTTATTTAAATTTTGTATATGTATATATTCTTTCTCATAATTTTTATTAGGTGTCTATATTTTCCGTATATTAGGCTGTGATATCACCTATATGTTTTTTCTAGTCATTTTTATTCAGTGTATGTATATTATGAGACTGTGATATTTTGAATTCCTGATGTGCTTTTATTTGGTCATTTTATATTAGCTATATTTATTTTTGTTGCTATAAAGTAATGATATTATTTTAAGCGCCCTTTGGGCTTTCTTTCTAATCATTTTTTTATTAGATATATTCAGTTTTATACAATATAGACCTGTGATAATATCTTAAGCCCCCTTTGGGTTTTCTGTCTAGTCATTTTTGTATGAGATGTGTATATTTTCCGTATATTATGCTGTGATATTTTAAACTCCTGTTGGGCTTTCTTCTAGTAATTTTTATTAGGTGTATTTATTTTTATGAGTTTTCAGATAAAGGGAGGCTGTCATTAATATACGTATCCTTGTCCTGTCGCTTTCCAGTAAGCATCACCGCCTGCCTTTATCTGAAAACTTTTGGGTCGTATATGGCTAGGAAATTTTAAACGCTGTTTAGCTTTTTTAGTGCCTACCTAATTATTATTAATTAGACAAATACTTGTTTATTTCGTGTATTGTTAGGACTATTTATTTTTGTCAATAAATAAATGTAATGTGGTTGTTTGTTTACAAATAAATTTGATTTACTACATGGTACTTTACTCTTGTGCTTTTATATGCTTTTTTCGCTTACCTAATATGACGTGCAGTTTCAAGTGACTGAAAGCAAACACTCCACTTGTAATCTAAAATAACAACGAAAATTAGTCCTCTGTAGTTTTAATGCAATTTACGTAGTCACCATTCAAATCAATTAGTTAATTTTTTGAGTTTGTTACATTAAAAAGCGTTCGTACAATATTGTTCGCCAAATATTTTAACTATAGCTGGGGCCATGATGAGAAGTAAAAAGAAAATTTTCGTAATAAATCCAATATCTTCAGTTTTTACATCATTTTATAATCATAAAAGCTGTAGTAAAATTGATAGTTGTCATTCTGGGACTCGGGATGCGTTACAGAGATTTGTTGGCGATGTGGCAACTACGACGAAGGTACTAAGCGGCAATACGGCATGCGCTAGGGACCCGCCGAGATCAAAGGTACCGACAGCAAGTGGAGTTCATCACTGCTAACACTCTTACTTTTCCGTCTTTGTTTCAAATTGTCTTTTAAAAACTCACTCAACTGTTTAAACTTTTCTTCCCAAGCGTCTTTTTGTTTTTGCACTATATCACCATGTTTTACAATGAAATCATTGTCAGTTGGCAGAACTAACTCCCATCCTTTGTTATGGCTCAACTTGGAGAAGCCCATGAAGATCTCTTTCACTTCTTCAGACGGTATCTTCATTATTGACGAAACTTTCTTCCTCTCGACATATTGATTTTTGGTAAATAAATAAAGCTGAAAGGTAAGTATTAGCAACTGTGCGATACAGGTTTGCATAAGAAGTACATCATACTAAAAATGTATGTCAAGTTTTAATTTTTCGAAAGCTATCAAATTTTAGAGGTGCGTACTCCTAAGCGAAGAAACATATATTTTGCATATTTAAAATAAAATTTGCGTATAGATAACGCCATCACATTTTCACTAACGATATTCATAAAACAAATCTGAATTGTTACAGTAATCGACCTAATAGTTTCGGAAATTATGTGCCTAATACAATCACCAACATATAAGAGATGACAGAAGGGTGTAAATAAAAGACCTACTTTTTCATATTCTACGAGATAAGAAACGTCAAGGAAACATGAAACTGCACTACTTCTCGAGGTTACCCTTGGAAGTAAAAAAAAAATTCGTTTAAAGAATAATAAATTAATCTGACTGTAAGACGTAGGTGAACATCACCAGATCGTACATTAATAGCATATTTGTGTATTAACCAAACATTTGTTGTTTTCGTAGTAAATCCATAAAAGTCGTATTTTTTTTTTCTAATTTTATTTGGCTATAAATAACTAACAAGACATTTTCTATAAAAGTCGCAAAGATTTTACCGAACAGGCAGTCAACGATTGAAGCCAAAATCGACTACCAACCACCATAGACTACCACTTCGTGTCATGGCAACTATAAACAGCATTTGTTTGATTTTACTGATTACAGGTTAGTAATTTGTTTTAATTTAATTTTCATTGTAACATATGGATCTTTTTAAAAATATTTGCAATAACTGTTTTAGAAATGGGACTTTCGAACCTACTTTCAGATTATCAGTTACAGTAACGCATGAAAGTTAAATAAACCGTATTTTCAGGTTTTGGATTTATAAAATGTCAAAATATTGTAACGTCCGAATGTTTGGTTTGCATTTGTGAAGCTACAACTGGTTGCAATTTCAATTATAATTGTTCCTCCAACGCTGCAATATGTGGTCCGTTTAGAATTACCAGACCCTACTGGAAAGGTGCTGGAAGTCCCACGATTAAGGATGAATCCCCCAACTCGGTTTCGGCTTTCTCGCACTGTACGAGTGATCTTTACTGTTCCATCAAAACTGTCCAAATGTTCATGAAAATAAACGAACGGGTTCGTGTTAATCAACGTTTTTTTTTCGTTATAAAAGTTTTTTTGACAGGATTGTAATGGCGATGGTATCATTGACTGCGATGATTTTGCCGCAATTCATCAACTGGGAAAATACGACTGCACAAGGACGCTTCCATATTACTATACAACATCTTATTCGCAGTGCAGAAAGATGTTACTTAAGTATGAAAGAGTTGATCAAAGTAATAATTATAGATAATTTTTCTTTGTTAATATATGCATTTCGTTATGCGTAGGTACTTTACTAGCAATATGTTTATGATAGGAAAAATATTAAAATGTTAACAATGTAAATTGTACATAAATGAGGAAACTTATAGTTAGAATTATTATTAGCCTAACTATACTTTGTATTCTGTTAAGAATTATAACTCGTTTTATCTCATTTTTATTGAAATATATAATTAATACAAGGTATATCCTACTGTTATGGCTTATGGAGTTTTTCGTGGTATAAGTTAAACAACTGCGTTTTTATTACGACGGACAGTATTCAGGGTTTCGCACTATAACCTAGATGTTATCTATGAATTATTTAAAATATTGTTGGACTACTGATTGAGTGATTGTTGTTTTAAAATTTGTCTACTGCCCTACCAACAATGACATGTTTAAAAAGTTTTATGCTGAGTCAGAGTATACCGGGTGTCCCAGCGTACCTGTTCCACTCAGTCTCAATTATTTTAAAACATAAAAATTTAAATTTAGGCATGTTCAATATATTGTTACGCCGACCGCCGAAATTATTTTTTTTGTTTTGTTTTGTTTACGAATTATGTGTTAAACAGCTTGGAAAATGGTTTTGAAGTAGATTGCGTCTATACTGATTTGCCAAAGGCGTTCGATCGTGTAAACATAAAAAGATTATTGATGAAATTATATCACCTAGGTATTGGTAATCCTCTTTTAGCATGGTTAGAATCATATCTGACTGGTAGAAAACAATTTGTAGAAACTGACGGAATTAAATCAAACCCAATTCACGTTCCATCGGGTGTGCCCCAAGGTTCCCATCTGGGCCCAATCTTGTTTACTTTATATGTTAATGATGTAGTAAATGTTATAAAGACTTGTAAAGTCTTACTTTTTGCTGAGGATTTAAAGTTATTTTTAAAATTTTCTAAAATTGAAGATCGTCAACCCATTCAACATGATATCAATGGATTAACTGTTTGGTGTACTTTAAATAATCTTAATTTGAATATACTTAAATGCAAGGTTTTAAGATTTAGCCATAAGATAATTAGTAGCTACTATGATTATTTTATTTCCGATAATAAATTGGACAATGTGAAAGAATTTAATGATTTAGGAATCAATCTTGATTATCAGTTAACTTTTTCCACCTATATGAATAAAATGCTCTCCAAGGCAAATAAGCTTCTTGGTTTTATCTTAAGATCATGCACTAAATTTAATAAAATCCGAACGTTGGTAATACTTTACGATTTTTTAGTTCGTTCAAATTTAGAGTATTGTACTGTCATCTGGTCTCCATTTTATAATATTTATATTAACAGAATTGAGAAAGTACAGAAAAAATTTGTAAAGTTTTTATGTTTTGAATTTAATATTTTTTATTCCAGTGACAACTATGAAAATATCTTAACTTATTTCGGTTTATCGCTGCTGGAGACCCGTAGATGTATGTTTGATTGTCTGTTTATTTATAAGGTCTTATCATCCGTTATTGATTGTTCTACAGATTCCATTTCATAGGACCTCGTATGGTTTAAATTCTACCCACTGTCAGCTATGTAAACTAACTTATTTACGCAAAGATTTGGATTTTGTAGGAACATCTGCCGCAATATTTAAAAAAAAATCGTTTAATTCATAAATTGTTTAAATTATATCTTCCTGTGTTGTAATTGGTTACCATGAACCGTCAATAAATGATATTATTATAATAACAGATTTTGAATGATACATTTCTTCATGGACGACGGATCTCCAGATCTAACACCTCTCGATTTTTTTTTGTGGGGCTATTTAAAAGACACAGTGTATCATCAACCTCTAAGAGACTTAGAAAAACTTAAGCAAAGAATTAGGGTAGAATGTGATAGGTTTAACCCAGAAATGTTACAAGAAGTAACACGTAGGGGTCTACTTGATCAAGCAGAATGTTGTTTAGAGGCAGAAGGTCCTTAATTTGAATATGTAAGTTAAAGTTATTGTTTTTGTATCGTTTTATTTTGCTTTAAACTTAGATTTTATTAAAATACTTTGTTGCATATGACTGAGTTTTAAATTTCGTTTTTTTTTTTGTATTTTAAAGACGTTTTAAAACATTCAAGTAAACAACATCGCATCATGTGATACATTGTTGAAAAGACAAAAAAGGGCACTAATTAATGTATTGAAAAATTATACCCTTTTACACAAAAAAAAAAAAAAAGAAAGTTGATGTTATTTCCGGCGAAACTGAAACTAATACGACGCCAATAATCTATCCATTTAACAGACTGTGTTACACAATACATATTGAATATGCCAAATTTCAATTTTACTCCCGAGCGTAAGCTAAGGAAGTATAGTAATCGAGTCCATCGGACGAATTGCCACTTTTATCTTTTCTCGACGCTTCATGGCCCCTATAGTACGAAAAAAGTAGCCTTCCGTTTCCATCTGTCTGTCTATCTGTGTCCATTTTTAATAACGTAATTTCCGAAACTGCTGGACCGATTGTTGTCAAATTTTGACATACTTGTGAATGTGATTTTAAATTGTTTTAGTGAGATCTGTTTTTTTGTTGAAATAACTTTTTTTCCTAAGTTATTATTTAGATTTAATAACTTCTCATTCGAAATTTTGAAACTGTAAATTGCAATACTCACGTTATTATCAGATTTTGTGTTATCATTTATCTGTTCTACAGCTTGAATTTTGAACATTTATTCTCAGACACTCCTCTCACAGTAAAGTGTACCAAAACGATATTATTGTGATTTCGACCACAATTTTGATTTATTGAGTTTAATATCCTACAAATGTTTTGTTTGTGTGGCGTAATTAAATGTTGTGGCTTTTGTTGCCAACAACAATTTTATTGTTTATTTGGCTTATCACAAAAAACTTAATGAAAGATGCTATCTAAGTTACTGATTAAATTAAAAACAGCCTACCTCATTTTCATGAAATTATCGGAATACAGTATCGTTGTTACGAACATTAAATTGTAGTTATTTAAATTAACAGGTATACTAAAAAGTTAATGACTTTGTTTAATTGCTTCTGCTTCAGAGGAGAAGAATGTTCTGTCTGAATAACTTTAAACCATTTTTTTTTTATTATAGATTCGTAAGAATTTGGTCAAGATTACTTCATTAAACGTCGGTTTTTAGACACAATATATTTTGGCTAACATATTTTAAAAATTCCACGACTGTTTATTTTTAGTATGATGCTTCTTTTGCAGACATTTGTCACTTACCACATAATCTCTTGTTCGGCACATCAATTCAGCTGGTACCCCACTGGTCGACGAAAACGTATTGCTGGGGTACAACACTTCGCTCTTCACCACCCAATTCCCCCTGACTAGCACAGCAACTTTCGGCAAGTTTCTCAACAAAGTATCTGCAGTCAAACCCTCACCACCTGCGAGAATCATCATCAACTGTTGAAATTGTATAATCTGAGCGTCTTTCAGCAACACTCGACACTGTTCTGAAATAGGAGACGCCCTCAGAGTGTGCAATGACATAATATGTGAAGGAGAAGATGGCTCGGTTGTTCCTTGCCCTTCGTCCTCCGGAACCAGCACCCTAACATACTCCGCGTCCGTCAAATTCATAGCCTGCCCCGTCGGCTCCGTGTTTTCGGCCATCAACTTCAATTTTTCCACTTTACTTAGAGAGCTGCTTTCTGGATGAACCTCGCAGGAAATAAAAGCCTCATCGGCACTTTTTGTTTGCAAGGTCTTGAAGTCCTTTGATTTCTTCCACCGATCATCACTTTGTTTGAACTTCACAGTGACCGCTTCTGCGGTACTGGGTCCTGGTTCTTCTTCGTCACTCAAGTCATTATGCTCGGTGTCTTTGCGTTTCCTCGAGCCCTTATCTAAATACATAAATGAAGGTCGGAATTCAAATATATTCCTAAGTGTCGTTAAATGTATCTCCTTGCCAGAGAACGTCAAAGCAGCGTATTTGCTCGGTTCCTTCACGGCCGGTGTTGATTTAAGGCATACTTTATCAACTAAGTCATTTTCAAAATGAACTTTAGTCGTAGATTTGCGGTTCTCTGGTGGCCCGTCGACCTCCTGGGCAATTAATTCGGCTCTATCACTGTCAAAATTCGACGATTCTACGTCGATGCACATTTCCAACTCAAGCTCTTGATTGTTCGGTTTAAAAAGTCCACGTCGGAGAGTGAGTTCATTAGGGCACTTTTTTGACAGTAGGGGATATCGCAGTAAGAATAAATTATTTGGTAAGCGGGTTGAGTTGAAAATTGGAATCTAGAAGAAAATTTTATAGTGACACATGGACCCCAACAATGTGACATAACCTAAAAGTGAAAGCTTGGAAAGTGATATTACCTACCTCTTTAATAACTTCGTCATCGTCTGCTGTAGAATTTGAAGGAACGGGCTCATCCATGTTGCTTTTATTCGTGAAATGGACACATTTGAGGCGAATCTTATCACCTCAAATGTCAGTTTTTGTAGGTTATAATTTGTGATGTTTCCATAACTACAGGTGACGTTACGAGAGGGAGCTTTATCAAAATGACAAATGACATGAATGACACCTGTCAAATTAATTTATTTACAAATAATCTTTTTTATTGACTAATTCTATTGTTAACAGTCACGGAACCTATTTAGTTTCAGTTTAGCCAAAGTCGTAAACAGTGTTATCTGCTGTTACAAATATTTATGTATTATTTATAGCATCGTGTTAAATTAACACGACATAACCTCAAAACAAAGATAGTCAATACTGGATAAAACTATTTATAAAATAAAACAAAATGACCTCGTTATTCGATCAGTTCGAGCAACCCTCGAGTAAACCGCGCAACAACAATTTAACAACAGCGGAAATGGTAAGCTCATATTACTACAAATAATTTCTGTTCAAAGTTGCATCTTTAGAGTACACTCGGTTACATCAACATGACTCTAGAGCAAGACGTCCCAATTTTTAGCAAAACAAAAAAAGATTTCACGCCCTCAGATAAAATAACGCATGTTGCTATTTCTAACAAACAGCTGGCGGTTGCTATGGCTAATAATATGTTGTTTCGAATGAATCCGCACAACCCCCAACAACACGATGGTAAGACTATTGTGTTTGTAGGGGAATATTATAAACACTGTTTTAGAAATTTCTTTGACCAAATACACTACAACATGCCGATTAACTAATTTATTCATGGACCCCACTGGCAATCACTTGCTGTTAACTAACAAGCCTTAATAAAACTGGTTTTTGACTTTATTAACTAAGACCTCCATTAGTCAAACGCTCTACAACTAAAACTCCTAACTATCATATTTACATGTTTAATGTTAAATTTTTAAATGTATTCTTATTGAGTTTTAAATTTAATATAACACAAATATAATCTCAATCTGTCATGGCATTTCAAATACGAAATCGAGATATAAACACAGAACTGACGGACTTCTTTCACATTTTCGAAATATGTATTACCACTTGCTCCTGCTTAAAAACATTAACTTTAGATCAATTTTTAGAATTTTAAATTTTTTATACAAAAATAATTTGTGTACAGTTTACATATTCCATCTCAGTTATATGCAAAAAGGGTTTTAAATTTGAAAAAATACATTAATACAAAAAGCCGCATAAAATGAATAAATTTTTAGCGTTAGATCAGCTTTGGGATTTCCGGAAATTAGTTCAACTTCTTTTTCAAGTAAAATATGATATGCGTTAAATGGAACACCAAAAAATGCAATGTCATAAAATTTTTGAAACTGCGGCACCCCAGTTTATTTGTCCCACTGTTCTATTTCAATTATTTCAAAAAAACAAAATTTTGAAAATTATTACAATCAATTGACGTAAAAAATGTACACTATAGAATTATTTAGATGTTCTATAAAACGTTGCACAAAATTAAAAAAAAAATACACATATTACAAAAGTCTTAAATCAATAATAAATAAATGTAATACCTAAAAAACACACTCCTTTGCTTATTTCCATTCGAAAGAAAAAAGTTGTAACATGATATTCTTAAGAACCTATAAAATTTGACAACAATTTATCCGGTAGTTTCGGAAATTATCTGTCTAATAAAAATCTGGACAGACTACAGACAAATAGACAGACAGCCGAATGGACGGACGGGAACGGAGATCTATTTTTCGTACTCTCGAGGTTATGAATCGTAGGGAAAACATGAAAGTAGTCAGTCGGCCCATGGACTCGTTTAAAATACTTCGTTACGTTATGCTCGGGCAGTAATAAAAAAGGTCTAAAAGTCTCAAGTTGTTTCGACAGAAGAACATAATTAGCCCCACCCACCCACCCCGCCTCCATTTCAGTGATTCATTTTGTCTAGCCCGAGTGAAAGGTGGAGCCCAAGGAAAGAGATAAAATCGTTAGAATGAGAACAGCGTGATGGGCGGGGCTAGTACTTGCTAAGATAAGACTGAGTGTGGTAAACGACATATCCTCTAAGAAAATAAAGGGCGGGTGGGCGGTGCTAGTACTTGTTAAGATAAGATTGATTTTGGTAAATGACATATCCTCAAAGAAAAAAAAGGGTGGGTGGGCGGGGCTAAAACTTGTTAAGGTAGGACTGAACAATATTTAGAGTAGTCACTGGAACAAAGAAGGGGTGGGTGGGGCTACTGATTGCTCGTAAAATTAGAAAAAAGCTCAATTTAGCCCCGCCCGCCGGGATATGGAAAAATCGGAAAGTCGAAAAATTTAAATAATGAAAAATCGAGAAGATGGCTCGGTTGTTCCTTGCCCTTCGTCCTCCGGAACCAGCACCCTAACATACTCCGCGTCCGTCAAATTCATAGCCTGCCCCCTCGGCTCAGTGTTTTCGGCCATCAACTTCAATTTTTCCACTTTACTTAGAGAACTGCTTTCTGGATGAACCTCGCAGAAAATAAAAGCTTCGTAGGCACTTTTTGTTTGCAAAGTCTTAAAGTCCTTTGATTTCTTCCACCGATCATCACTTTGTTTGAACTTCACAGTGACCGCTTCTGCGGTACTGGGTCCTGGTTCTTCTTCGTCACTCAAGTCATTATGCTCGGTGTCTTTGCGTTTCCTCGAGCCCTTATCTAAATACATAAATGAAGGTCGGAATTCAAATATATTCCTAAGTGTCGTTAGATGTATCTCCTTGCCAGAGAACGTCAAAGCGGCGTATTTGCTCGGTTCCTTCACGGGCGGTGTTGATTTAAGGCATACTTTATCAACTAAGTCATTTTCGAAATGAACTTTAGTCGTAGATTTGCGGTTCTCTGGTGCCCCGTCGACCTCCTGGGCAATTAATTCGGCTCTATCACTGTCAAAATTCGACGATTCTACGTCGATGCACATTTCCAACTCAAGCTCTTGATTGTTCGGTTTAAAAAGTCCACGTCGGAGAGTGAGTTCATTAGGGCACTTTTTTGACAGTAGGGGATATCGCAGTAAGAATAAATTATTTGGTAAGCGGGTTGAGTTGAAAATTGGAATCTAAAAGAAAATTTTATTGTGACACATGGACCCCAACAATGTTACATAACCTAAAAGTGAAAGCTTGGAAAGTGATATTACCTACCTCTTTAATAACTTCGTCATCGTCTGCTGTAGAATTTGAAGGAACGGGCTCATCCATGCTGCTTTTATTCGTGAAATGGACACATTTGAGGCGAATCTTATCACCTCAAATGTCAGTTTTTGTAGGTTATAATTTGTGATGTTTCCACAACTACAGGTGACACTACGAGAGGGAGCTTTATCAAAATGACAAATGACACGAATGACACCTGTCAAATTAATTTATTTACAAATAATCTTTTTTATTGACTAATTCTATTGTTAACAGTCACGGAACCTATTTAGTTTCAGTTTAGCCAAAGTCGTAAACAGTGTTATCTGCTGTTACAAATATTTATGTATTATTTATAGCATCGTGTTAAATTAACACGACATAACCTCAAAACAAAGATAGTCAATACTGGATAAGACTATTTATAAAATAAAACAAAATGACCTCGTTATTCGATCAGTTCGAGCAACCCTCGAGTAAACCGCGCAACAACAATTTAACAACAGCGGAAATGGTAAGCTCATATTACTACAAATAATTCCTGTTCAAAGTTGCATCTTTAGAGTACACTCGGTTACATCAACATGACTCTAGAGCAAGACGTCCCAATTTTTAGCAAAACAAAAAAAGATTTCACGCCCTCGGATAAAATAACGCATGTTGCTATTTCTAACAAACAGCTGGCTGTTGCTATGGCTAATAATATGTTGTTTCGAATGAATCTGCACAACCCCCAACAACACGATGGTAAGACTATTGTGTTTGTAGGGGAATATTATAAACACTGTTTTAGAAATTTCTTTGACTAAATACACTACAACATGCCGATTAACTAATTTATTCATGGACCCCACTGGCAATCACTTGCTGTTAACTTTTGCACCAAAAAGCATAGAAGGGGGCCCTGAGTTGCTTTATTTGTCGAGAAAATCAAATAAGCTGAAATCTACAACGAAATTCCGAGGACACGAATTTACTGAAGTGGCTTGGAATACTGTGAATGAGTCAGAAAGCACTACAGGACCTATTTTATTGGGTACTATTTTTGACTTGGATTTTTTTTGTCACTGGTTTTATGTGTTGTAGGTACTTCCAAAGGCTTAATTTTTGAAACCGAGATTGTTCTGGAAGGTGACAAGTTTTTCACGTCTGGATTTTCTTCTAGTTTGGAGCAGTATTGGAGACAGGTAATTATTTTCCAGTTTAAACTTGTAAAAAGTCATTGTTATAATATTACAAGCTGCCAAATTATTTACCATTGTATGGGAATAGAGAAGTAGATGGATTGGTAATTTTGTGTTTGAATATGTGTTCAGGTTTTTTCATTCAGTGCATACTACTAATAGCTAAACAAGCCTTAATAAAAACTGGTTTTTGACTTTATTAACTAAGACCTCCATTAGTCAAAGGCCCTGCAACTAAAACTCCTAACTATCATATTTACATATTTAATGTTAAATTTTTAAATGTATTCTTATTGAGTTTTAAATTTAATATACCAAATATAATCTCAATCTGTTATGGCATTTCAAATACGAAATCGAGATATAAACACAGAACTGACGGATTTCTTTCACATTTTCGAAATATGTATTACCACTTGCTCCTGCTTAAAAACATTAACTTTAGATCAATTTTTAGAATTTAAAATTTTTTGTACAAAAATAATTTGTGGACAGTTTACATATTCCATTCTAATATCTCAGTTATATGGAAAAAGAAGGGTTATAAATTTGAAAAAATACATTAATACAAAAAGCCGCATAAAATGAGTATATTTTTAGCGTTAGATCAACTTTGGGATTTTCGGAAATTAGTTCAACTTCGTTTTCAAGTAAAATATGATGCGTTAAATAGATCACTTAAAAATACAATGCCATAAAATTTTTGAAACCGCGGCACCCCAGTTTATTTGTCCCACTGTTTTATTTCAATTATTTCAAAAAAAAACAAAATTTTGAAAATTATTACAATCAATTGACGTAAAAAATGTACACTATAGAATTATTTGTTCTATAAAACGTTGCAAAAAATTAAAAAAAAAAAACATACATATTACAAAAGTCTTAAATCAATAATAAATAAATGTAATACCTAAAAAAACACACTCCTTTGCTTATTTACATTCGAAAGAAAAAAGTTGTAACATGATATTCCTAAGATACCTATAAAATTTGACAACAATTTATCCGGTAGTTTCGGAAATTATCTGTCTAATAAAAATCTGGACAGACTACAGACAAATAGACAAGACAGCCGAATGGATGGACGGGAACGGAGATCTATTTTTCGTACTCTCGAGGTTATGAATCGTAGGGAAAACATGAAAGTAGTCAGTCGGCCGATGGACTCGTTTAAAATACTTCGTTACGTTATGCTCGGGCAGTAATAAAAAAGGTCTAAAAGTCTCAAGTTGTTTCGACAGAAGAACATAATTAGCCCCACCCACCCACCCCGCCTCCATTTCAGTGATTCATTTTGTCTAGCCCGAGTGAAAGGTGGAGCCCAAGGAAAGAGATAAAATCGTTAGAATGAGAACAGCGTGATGGGCGGGGCTAGTACTTGCTAAGATAAGACTGAGTGTGGTAAACGACATATCCTCTAAGAAAATAAAGGGCAGGTGGGCGGTACTAGTACTTGTTAAGATAAGATTGATTTTGGTAAATGACATATCCTCTAAGAAAAAAAAGGGTGGGTGGGCGGGCTAAAACATGTTAAGGTAGGACTGAACAATATTAAGAGTAGTCACTGGAACAAAGAAGGGGTGGGTGGGGCTACTGCTTGCTCGTAAAATTAGAAAAAAGCTCAATTTAGCCCCTAATTTATGGAAAAATCGGAAAGTCGAAAAATTTAAATAATGAAAAATCGAATTCTCGAAAAGTCGAAAAATCGAGAAATCAAAACTTGAAAAGTCGTAAAATTGAACGGAAAAAATTGGAGACTCGAGAAGTTGAAGAATTGAAGTTGAAAAATACAAAAATCGAAAAATAGAACAATTCAAAAATCGATATATTGAAAAGTCGAAAAATCGATAAATTGAAAACTCGAAGTCCTAAATCAAGAAATGGAAAAATAAAGGAATTGAGGACTGAAAAACCGAAAAATCGAAAAGTTGAAATTTTGAGTTATCGAGTAGTCGAAAAATCGAGAAACTGAAACTTTGAAAATTGAAAATTTGACAAGACCAAAAATTAAAACGAAAAATTAGAAATTGCAAATTGGAAAATCAAAAAAGTAAAAAAATCGAAACAACGAGAAATTGAAAAGCCGCAAAGTTAATAAATCCAAAAATGGAAAGACCTAATGTTATTCTGTTTAATTTTTTTGAGATATCATGTATATACACACAGTTCTAAAAACAAGAGGGAATAAAGAAAATACGTACATAGAAACATGCTATTTTGTACAATTGAAAGTTTTATTAAAGAAAATGTTCAGATTTTACAAGTCGTAAAAGGATTTAAGTTGATTACTATAAAAATTTACCATTTTAGACATGTTTTAAGTTTTTTGTTGACGAAATAAGTCTACTCATATTAAGAAAAAAAAAGCAAAATGTAGCCCCGCCCGCCCGCCCTGGCTCAATTCTGATGATTTTTTTTATTCGTCGTGAGCCAAGAAGGCGGAACTTAACTGCAAAATCCTTATTTCTTCACAAGAAATTCCTATGAAAAACATGTCTTTTAGTCATCGTGTTAGTCAAAGAATAGTATGTACATATATATTAAGAAAAAAAAAGTTTTCATTCGTTAGATCTAGAAGCGGAGCCTCATTCATAAAATCCATATTTTCAAAAATCATCAAAATTGAGTTGGGGTGGGTGGGCGGGGTTAATATTTTGCCTTTTTTCCTAATATATTTAGTATTCTTTGAACAACACGATACTCAAAAAATGTTTTTAATGTCTTGCAAAGAAATAAGTATTTTGCAGTTAAGCTTGGTTCATAGCGAATAAAAAAAAATCTTTACAATTGAAACAGCGCCGGTGGGCGGGCTTACATTATGTCTTTTTGTTTTAATATGTGTAGACTTCCTTTCACAGCATGAAACTTAAAACATATTTAAAATTGAAAATTTGTATAAAGAAATATCACTTTTGCAATTAGGCTCCGCCCCATAATTACAAAATCCATATTTTCTTGTAAAAATGTACCATTTTAAGCATGTTTAAGTTTATTGTTGGAAGAAGATTTAGTGTAAAATGGAAATTGAAAAATAACAGTATTGTATTCCCAAAATTTTCGGGGAAAATGAAGTGAACCGTTCCTGATTTAATCAATAAACTAAATTGACTCATTCATTAATTTTTTTGAGCCACCTGCATAAGCAAATCTAAAAAATATTAATGCAGTGATAAATCACAAGTAAAAACTCATCATATTTTGCACATTTTGGGTAGAATTTATTCGGCAAAATTTTGTGATGACGTCATAATAAATAAACAGATAACAATTTAGCATACTAACAATAACTTTAAAACGTCTGCAAGATTTCAGAATATTCATACATTTTTTTGAGTCACCCTGTATAAGAAAATCTAAAAAATATTAATGCAATGTTAAATTATAAGTATAGGGTATCATATTTGGCACACTTCAGACAGGATTTATTCAGCAAAATTTTGAGGCGATGTTATCAATTTTTAAGGAGGGGATAGGCAAATATATTTTGAATACAAATTGATTATGTTTATCATAACTTTAAAATATCTGCAAGATTTCAAAGTATTCGCTTTTATAGATTCAAAATTAAATTGTAAAATATTATTTTATAATTTTAGATTTTTTTTCCCAAAAACCTAGACGTTTCGAGTAAAAACTCTGCGGAGTCATAAATTACATGTGTAGGACTGTGTTATTTTATCCAATTTAAAACCCATTTACTATGTACAATTTTGAAGCGATGTCATCATATCATTAGTGGGGTTAATTAGACAAGGTTTGGTTAGCGTTTTGCCATCTACATGATATTCATAATAGACATAAAATTTGACAACCATCGGTCCAGTAGTTTCGGAGATTATCTGTCAAAGAAAATCCGGACAGACGACAGACAGACAAACGGAAACGAGAAACCTATTTCGTCGCACTCCAGGGATCATGAGAGGTCGAGAAAATGTAAAAGTAGTTATGCTCGGGAAGTAATATTCCATTTGTTGCACTTAAACCCAGAACGCTCCGTTTTATTAAAAAAAATTGATGTCATTGCCGAAAAAGTTAATAACCTTTCCACATTTCAAACGTGTATTATTTCAAACAACTAAGATATTCACATAGACATATGGAACAGGTAGACTGGGACACCCGGTATATAAAATTTTAAAATCTATTTTTGGTAATATTCACCATATATTTACTATCGGGGAATGGTGCAGAATAACTTTAAACTTTCATATCATACACTTAATATTTATACAAGTTAACACCTTATTTTCTGAAATTTGTAAATAATAATCACTCAAGGACGACACAGCTTAATTTCACCTGTTAATTTAATTTTGACGTATAAGTTTTTGTGGAAGATCTGCAGATGAAGAACGTTTCTGAAATTGGTTGGTTGAAATAAAAGCATATATGAAATATCGAAATATTTTACTGGAGAGAAACAGAGCATCACCCACTATTTGTACTAGAAATCTATATACAAATATTAAACAAACATCCCGCAAAATTAAACATGTAGCCAAAATTTTAAAATCCTCGAAAAATTCAAAATTTACGTTGTTTTTTTATTTGACGGAATATGTTCAAATGCAGAGTGATGAAATCGATACAAATATTTAAATATCGCAAAATTTCGGTCAAAATCTGTAATAATTCAACAATGAATGTTCAAATTGAGTCTGTTAAAAAAAAAATAAATTCGCCCATATAATATAATAACTTAAATAAAAACATCCAGAACTTTTGGATATCCGTCTATTAAATATAAGTTGAGCCTGAATAAGTGAGATTAGAAAATGATTAATTAAGTGGTCTTACACTAATTATACCCATTCAAGGGGACAGTGGCGTTGACTGCGATTCATTTTTGTTTAAACAACTGCCTTTTCATGCAATTACTGACTAAATTTTATGTACCCTTAATTTCCCACGTGTTTTTCCTGCACTTACTAAACAAGAAGTAACAGATCAAGTGATTTTTTTTATTTTTCAAATGCGGTTTTACCGGCGTGAAATTTAATTTTTAATATCAATACGTAGGTAAAAATTGAGTAGTGAAATTTTTTGAAAAGCTTCAAAGACAGACAGTTGGAGTATATTAAAAATTAACAAAATTGCAACTGAGATCATATAATTCTATTTAATGCACTGAATGTAAACCCCCAACATACATATGTTTGACTCCGCCCTCTCTCTAGGTATTCGACATCGGAAAAGGGTCCAACACACCAATCACAGGCTTAGAGTTTCACAAAGTGTTAGGCAGTGATAAGTACGTAATTTTTGCAGCCACGCCTACCAGACTGTACTATTTCGTTGGACGAGCTGAACACGAAGAGAAACCCCTTCTCCAACAAGTGTTCAATCGTTACTTAAACATACCCGAAAAAGATACTTATCTAGAAGTTGACAGCAACTTGAGATATTCGCGCTTGAAGTTCTGGTCAGAGAACTTGACCATTCCGAACTGTTTGGCCTGGATGACCGAAAAAGGAATTACTTACGGTCAGTTCGACTCAGGTATAGACGACAACATGTCGACTCTGAAAAGCCGAACTCGATTGATTAAATACCCGAAACCCTTGTACGAAGACTATTCCGTTTCGCAGAAATTCCCCATAGCTATAACACTGACGGAATTTCACATTTTGCTAGCATACACCGACACAATCAAAGGTGTTTGCTTACTGAACGAGGACGTCGTGTATGAAGATAACTACAACGAAGCTTTCGGCAAATTGATAAATATAGTCAAAGACGCAAGTACGGGAGAAATTTGGGCGATTACGGAAAATGCGGTTTTCAGGTTTAAAGTAAGCAAAGAAGAGAGAAACGTGTGGCAGATTTTCTGCGAAAACCAGCAGTTCGATCTTGCTAAGAAGTACTCGAGGGGCAATGAAGCGTCCTACAATCAAGTTCTGATCAAAGAAGCTGAGATGTTATTCAACAAGAAAGAGTACGAATTGAGCGCACAAAGATACGCGGAAACTCAGTCGAGTTTCGAGGAGATTTGTTTGAAGTTTATTCAAGTCAATCAACAGGATTCACTCAAGATTTTTCTGAGGAGGAAGCTGGATACGTTGAAGCCGCAGGATAAAACCCAGATTACCATGATCGTGATTTGGGTTATTGAGTTGTATTTGAGTAAACTGGAAGAGAAGAGGTTAGTTGGTTTGGAGCAGAGTGCGGCGTATTTGGATATTCAGAAGGAATTCGAGGCGTTTTTGGCTCTGACGGAGGTTTCGGATTGCATTAAGAAAAATAAGTCGACGATTTATGAACTGATGGCCAGCCATGGAGATAAGAGTAATTTGATCAAGTTGACGATTGTCAACAAAGACTTTGAACAGGTTGGTTATACAAAAAATTGTGATTAGTTCAAACTCTTTTTTTTTCCAAGTATACACGGTATTTTTGTATTTTATATCGATCCCCGTTTTAGTTAATACGACATCACATCTACAAAAATAGTTTTCACGAAGCCCTGGACGTCTTAAAAGGCCAAAACAAATACGAACTCTACTACCAGTTCGCCCCGATTTTAATGCAAGAAGTCCCGAAACACACCGTCAAAGCGCTAATCGATCAAGGCAAAAAACTAGTTCCAGTTCGTCTCCTTCCAGCTCTTGTAACATGCGAGGGCGAATTTCACGCCAAACAAGTAATAACGTATTTAGAATTTTGCATTGATAAACTCAAAAACACCGATAAGGCCATCCACAATTTTCTGTTATCTTTGTATGCCAAACACGATAAAGAAAAACTGATGCAGTATTTGAACTCACAGGGACAGGAGTTGAGTCTGGTATGTCGCAAAAAATAACAAACCGTGTTTAAATAGCAACAATTTAGGTGAGCTACGACGTTCATTTCGCTTTGAGGTTGTGTCAAGATAACCCAAATTTAAAAGAAGCGTGTGTTCAGTTGTCTGGTTTGTTGGGCTTGTGGGAATCCGCTGTTGAGTTGGCTCTGACTGACAATAATTTAAAATTGGCCAAGCAGTTAGCGGATATGCCGCCTGAAGAAGATGTAGAATTGAGGAAGAAACTGTGGCTCAAAATTGGTAAAAATGTTGAAAATGTGACAACAGTGAAAGATCTTTGACATTTTAGCGCAGCACGTGGTAAGTGGAAAAGATGACATTCAGCAAGCTATGGAATTTTTGCGACAGTGTGATTTGATTCGGATTGAAGATATTTTACCGTTTTTCTCTGATTTTGTAACGATTGATCACTTTAAAGAAGCGATTTGTAATTCGTTGAAGGTGAGGTTTTGTCGTTTTTAGCAACAACAACTGCAAAGTTGACTTTTAGGAGTACAATCAACACATTCAGGATTTGAAGGATGAAATGGAGGAAGCTACGAAGTCGGCTCATTTAGTCCGGGAAGACATCCAGTCTTTCCGAAATCGGTTTACCTGTATCAGTAGTGACAAGATTTGTGAAATCTGTAACATTACTTTGATGATAAAGCCATTTTATATGTTTCCCTGTCAACACCGATTTCATACAGAATGTTTGATGAGCGAATTGCAACCACTTTTAGGTAAGATTAGGGACCAAAATGCTTCTATTCTAAAACGAATAAAATTTTAAGCATTTTGGTCTTTCTGATGCTCATTATTATTGTTGTAAATATTTTTTCAAATACAGGTCCTGCGAAAAAGAATAAGCTGGCAGACTTAGAAAGGCAGTTAAAAATCCTGAACACACAAACAAACGTCGACAATGTCAGTACGGGTTCTGGAATGTCCGCCAGAGAAATAGTGAAATCGGAAATCGACAATATTGTGGCCTCTGAGTGTCTGTTCTGTGGCGAAAACATGATCAGAAATATAGACAAGCCGTTTATTGAAGACGATGACTACGATAAGATAGCCAAAGAGTGGGAATAAATTTGAGACTTCAAAACTTCATTCCATTAAGTATAACAATTGCTAGCATGTCTGTACTGCAGTATGTTAAGTGTGATATATTTATAATATGTTGCTTTAAGTAATTAAATAAATAAAACATAAATGTTTCTGTACAATTTTACTTTACATACTCAACATTGTGTTGGTAAATAAACATACAATTTGCTTATTTCTTAAACAATTGAGTAAAAAATTAAATATTAACAACATACACTAACTATGTACAAAGATCGTACAAGGTACAATAGAACAGGCAACGTTTTATTGGTTAAAATCGGTAACAATTTTCGAAATAATCGCATCAAAAAAATCGACGAAAATAATGCAAAAAGCACCTTGAATGTATCCAATAAATGCTAAAATAGACATCACATTAAAGTTGAACCTAAAAACTGGACACTCACTATAATATATACATTGGACTGTTTTCAGTGGCTTCACCTATGTAACATGAAAGTTACTAAAGCTATATACTTTTCCTCAATAATTACATCTTTAGAATGATGAACTTAAAATAACGTAAAGAATCTCATCATCGAGTTATCACCAAGGAAGTCGCGATTGGAGTCGCAATTGCACAAAACTTACCGATAATCATAATATTTAATAATAAAATTATTTTCTAAGCGATAATTACTCACTTTAAGTAATCACTAACAGTTTTTTCCTACTTATTACATCACCTGAGATGCCTGTGACTCGGTCGCTACAGCTAAGAAACTCACTTCAACAAACTTCACTGCTGATTTGTTGTAAAAGCACTTATTCCGTTATTGGCCATTTCATCCATAATCCTCGAAACGTAAGCAGCCACGTCGACTTTTTCTTTCTGGGCCCTCAAAATGAACGGATCTTCGAGCAACCGCTTGTACTTTGGTCTGGCATGTTCATCTTTTATTAAACTACGATAGACGGATTAAAAATTAAACCATGAACGAATGCTCGTGACGTGACTTACCAAGTATTTACAAAATTAACAAATTCTGACGTAAATGTGTTGGCGTTATGGTTAACTGTAAGGCGAGGAGGTTCCCCATTGACGACTTGGTGTAATTGATCGAAAACACTCGACCATCGCGGGTAAGGAAAACGACCCGTTGCAACTTCCATTAATGTTATACCCAAGGACCAAACGTCACTTCGAACGTCGTACCCTTTGGCAGTCTGGGGGTCTATTCTTTCCGGCTGTAACAATTATCAATTCCCACAAATACATTTTTTCGCTTTATTAACAAAAAATTGACAGAACTATCAGTGTGTAATGCATATTTCTTTTTTATTTAGTATTTTCATATTAATCACATAGCTGATTTACAGAACTTTTAATTATGCTTAAATGCGACTTGTTATTTTTTAATAAGACTACCCCTTTACTCGTTATTATTATTACTATTCACTATAAACTTTTATTACAAATACCTTGCCTTGTGTCAAGGTTAAATACATATAATTTCCTCCTGTACGTATGTATTACATAGACATAGAAAATAAAGCAGAAAGAGTAAACAAACTTTTAAAACTACACGCATAAAAAATTCTGCAAGTTTTGCCCTATTAAACTGAAACGGTCCGTAAATGATAAGACATACTTGGAGCTTTATTCCATTGCCGGTGAAAACCCTATTATGACTTCAAGGTTTTATTTAAAAACATATTTCGCAATTTATTGTACTTCATACCATAGCACATTTAAATCGGGAAATGTTTTTTTTTAATAATAAAAAAAAACAGGTAGTTTATAAGAAAAAGAATTCTTATCGACCCTACATGTTCCATGTGACCTAGTTGGATATTCGCACTGTTTATCTATGAAATGATGACTTTTACATTTTAAACTAAAATTTATGTCAGGTCAGGTATTTTTTAGTAAATCCATGTAATAAATTTATATGGAAAAATTGGTTGGATAGAATGAGCATTTTTTGTCGGACTTTCGAACAAGTTTTAGATCATACGGTAGAATTATCTATCCATTTTTAAATCAAAAACTAATCCCTCAACAATTTTTGCAAGCATAGAATCGGTTGCGACATTAGAAAACTATTCGTCACAATTGCTTGAAACTTTGTAAAGGGGTTTGGAAGATTTAAGTTCTAAAGCATATAATTTTTTACACGATTCCATTTTGTTAATAAAAAATTGGTCAAAGGCCATTTCGACAGAACTTCCCTCGCCCTTGAAATATAATCCGACAAATCCAGCTCTTTAAAAAAATTATCAAATTCGATTTTACGATTTTCGTTTTGAAATTACAAATTTTCTGTATAAGATCATTAATTTCATTCTGACCGGATAAAATTAATCACTGAAATGGAGACAGGGTGGGTGGGTGGGTGGGGCTAATTATGTTCTTCTGTCGAGTGGGACTGGAAACTAAAAAAATCTAGGATTTGAAAAAAGTAAAAGAAAGCGCTTATCGTATATATATTTTTTTATATATACTAATTGCTATATTTATTTATAAAGTACATTCTTATTGTATTTTGTGAAACAAAAATTATCCTTTTTACCTATAAATTCGCGATTTTTGAAATACGATAGGAATTTCTGAAGAAACGAAGCCTAAAATTAGTTCTGGATATCGAAATATACAACAAAATGTCTTCAACCAATTTTCGAATATGGTTGAAAATGTCAAAAGTGTCAAATTCAGTTTTCATCCACCCTCTATTTTTTTGGAGAGTATGTCAAAATCAGTCTTATCTTAGCGAATACTATAAGAGTACGGACAATCTAAAATATATTTGAAGTATTTAACCAACGGGATAAAATGTCCTTCAGCACTAAGTAATAGCAACCTGAAGCTCAGGTCTTTATTTATGTTTATACATCTAAAAAATGTTAGATAGAAATCAGTTTGATCTGAATGAGTTTGTCTTCCCAAAACAGAGGACTAAAATTATTAATTAAACCAAAATCGAACAAAATGTTGTCAATATTATACATAACTCTTATTTTATCATTACATTTTTTATTGAATTAAACATCTGCTGTTATATTTTTTAGTGTCTGGTTAATTTTCTCACATTTTCGAGAAAAAAAACGAGTCTTAATTTGAGCAATGAAAAATTTGTTATGACATCATCAACATAGATAATGGACAATTCGAGAAAAAAAGAGGGAAAAAAACAAAACGAAAGGCCAAATTTGACATCGAACCCGGGACCTCCGGTCCGAATTCCATACTCCTATGGACTAGACTACGATCAGGACGTCTTACGCTAATGGTAACCGAGTATTATACCGGGTGCCTGGCAAATGCCGGATTATCTCTTCAATATATACGGGATTTCGGGAGTCCCAAAAAAAAAAAAATAATGAAAAAATTCTTTATGATGTATATTACGAAAAAAACGCAATTTTATAAAACTAAAATTGGCAACACAGCACGCACCCCCGGATCACTTTCTGATTTCTTAGTAACGATGGTGACTGAAATCCACTTTTTTAGGACATTAACCATAACAACCAGTAGTCATTAATCGTTGTGCATTATTATTAATAAAACAAGTTGTTTTTAATTAATAAATAAACCAAAAAAAAAAAAAACATTTAATAAGACATTTATAAATGATAAACAAAACCAACAAAAGAAAAATTGGCGAAAGTTGTTTCGACAGAACTTCCCTCGCTTCCGAAGTACAATGAAGCAAATCCAGCATTTTCGAGTTGAGTTTTTTCTTTACACAATTTTGTGATGACGTCATCAACATTTTTGCAAGGACACATCAACTTGGATTGGTGCAGAGTTATACTAAAAATAACAGCGTTGTATTCCCAAAATTTTCCGGGAAAACGGAGTCAATAAAATAAATTGCCTCATTCATTAATTTTTTTGAGTCAACCCGTATAACCAAATCTAAAAAATATGAATGCAGTAATAAAATACAAGTATAGACTAATCATATTTTGCACATTTTCGAAAGGATTTATCCGGCAAAATTTTGAGATGACGCAATCAATTTTTTGGGGTTGATAAACAGATACCTTTTGATTAAAAAGTTACCATGCTTACAATAACTTACGATTCTTGACTTATTCAATAAAATAAATTGACAGATTTATTAATTTTTTTGAGTCACCCTGCATAAGCAAATCTAAAAAATATAAACGCAATGATAAAATACAAGTATAGGTTGAACATATTTTGCACATTTAAGATTTTAAGAGAGACGTCATCAATTTTTTAGGAGGAGATAAGCAAATATATTTTCAATACAAATTGATTATGTTCATCATAACTTTAATATATGTATCTGCAAAAATTCAAAGCATTCGGTTTTACAGATTCACAATTAAATTGCAAAATTTTGAGGTAACGTCATCCATTTTTTAGGGAGGATGAGCAAATACATTTTGACTAAAAATTTACCATGCCTATGATAACTTTAAAACATCTCCAAGATTTAAAAGCTTCGGTTTTGTAGTTCCTGACTAAATCAATAAAATAAATTCAAGCATATTTTTTAATCACCCTGTATATGCAAATCCAGAAAATATGAATGGAATGATAAATTACAAATACAGACTTATCATATTTTATACATTTTAGATGGGATTTATTCGGTCAACTTTTGAGCTGACATTATCAATTTTTTGGAAGGGATAAATAAATATATTTTAATTAAAAATTTATCATGCTTATCATAACTGTAAACCATCGGCAAGATTTTAAAACATTCGGTTTTGCAGAGTCAAAATTAAATTGCAACATTTTATGTGATAATTTTGATTTTTTTTCCAAAAAACTGGACGTTTCGGGTAAAAACTCAACACAGACTCATAAACTAATGTGTAGGACCATGTTATTTTATACAATTTAAAACCCATTTACTATGTTCAATTTTGAAGTGACGTCATCCACTTAGTGGTGAGGATGATTTTACAAATTTTGGTTAGCGTTTTACCATCTACATGATATTCGTAATATAAATACAAAATTTGACAACAATCGGCCCAGTACTTTCGGAGATTATCCGTCTAATAAAAATCCGGGACGGTAGACAGACAGACGGAAACGGGAGGCCTATTTCTTCGTACTCTAGGGGTCATGAAAGGTCGAGAAATGTAAAAGTAGAGAGTCAGCCGACGGACTCGATTACAATACTTCCATCGCTTACGCTCGGGAGGTAAAAATCCATTAACATTAAAGCATAATCAACTAAGCCGTAGAGAAAATATTCAAAATTCCTGCCTCGTGCATATAAGTAAGCTCGTAATGTTTCCAAATTTGATCATTTTTTTGTATAAGTTAATCATCACTACTTGCTAAGATAAAATTGATTTTGGCAATGACATATCTTCTAAGAACAGAGAGGGTGGGTGGGCGGCGTTAGTACCTGCTAAGATAAGACTGATTTTGGCAAATGAGATCCCTCTAAGAAAATAGAGGGCGGGTGGGCGGGGTTAGTACCTGCTAAAATAAGATCAATAGAGGGCGGGCGGCTGGGGTCATTACCTGCTAAGACTTATTTTAGCAAATGACGTATCCTCTAAGAAATTTAATTACATTATTATAAGAAAAGACACTAGAGGCTCCAAAGCACTTTCAAATTCTTTCCAAACAGGAATAGCTAGAACCTCAATATTGTTAAAAAAAAAAGGTCAGGTCAGAATTTTCCAAAAACAGAACACCAAAGTCCCCCAAATTTGTTTAAAATAATTTACAAAAAAAATCTCCATGGGCTCCCAAAATAATACACCATGGGTACCCAAAATCTCAAAAAAAAAGTACCGTCGATTTCTATTAGACAAATATTGTTGTCAAATCGAATTTTATCAAATTATTACAAAAACAATACGACCATATCTTTGTACATTCTAACTGAAATAGTAATTAGACATGGTCATGGGCGAGAGAAATATTAACTAAAAGTTTTATTACTAGTTATTGTGATAATGAATTTTTTTACTATTTTTTCCAGACTCAACAGTTGATTGTTAATCCGCCATTTTCCAGACACCCGGTACTGTGCATTATGTTTTTGCGAAAATTTGGACGGTTAGGGAAACAACTCAAAGCGGATTCGTACATCACACGTATAGGAGTATATTGTTGTTTAACAGTTAAATCAAATAAACATAGAACATGACATTTCTGATATACATACAAAATTTGACAATAAATCGGTCCAACAGTTTCGTAGATTACGTGTCTAACAAAAATGGATTCAGACATCAGACAGACAAACGGAAACGGGACACTACAGACAAACGGAAACGGGACACTACTTTTTTCGTAGTGTAGGGGTCATGAAACGTCGAGAAAATTTAAAAGTGGCCATTCGTCCGATGGCTCGATTATTATATTTCCTTAGCTTACGCTCGGGAAGTAAAAAAAGTAGAACAAAACTTAATCTTATTTGAAGTCCGTCATTTTTATTACAGCACGTTAAACTAGTAATAAGTAATAAGTTGATTATCACGAATAATATAATTATTTCTATAGGAAAATTGATAAATTTGATTTGATAGTCAGCTGCCAGCTACTTCTTTGTCAAATCTAAAACTTATTAATATCTAAAATTTAATTAAAAGCAACCGCTACTGCTAAGTTGGTAGAATGACGAATTAGGTTTTAAATGTATAAATTTGTGAGTCACATTTTTCGTTACTGCTATATAAACATAACTTTCTACGTTTTATTTCTGTGTTGTTTGTCTATGTAGATAAGCACACAAAACATTCAACCAGCAAATCTAACAGCCAAATTGCGTAAAAGGTGGAAAAATAATAAACTTTTTCCTGGTTACACAATTATGAATGCCATATACAAATGTTACTCTATATATTTTATTTGAAAAAAATTTACCTTTAGTCAAGTTTCCACCAAGTACATATTTTAAAATAGAATTGCGAATTACAGTAAAGAATGCAGAATACAACTTGACAAGGACATCATTAATTCTGATGGCGCATAGCTTGATATAAATAATCATCTTTTTAGAAATTATTTTGAGTGAACACCGTCAAATACTTTACAACGAAAACTGTGGGCCAAAGGGCCAATATTGGGCAAATTTTGTTCACATAAAAAAATATGGCAAAACGAAGTTCACTCTTTTATCATTTTGTAATTTTTTAATTTTAATGCTAATAGAAACTACTGGATAAAATTACTTACAGCCATATATGGTCTACAGCCGGCATCCCGTGTCCTTGCGATTGAATCCACCAACTGTCCCGAAATCCCAAAATCACATAACTTAATATTCCCATTTCGATCAAGTAGAATATTGCTTGGTTTTACATCTCGATGTATAATTTTTAACTTCTCTTTAAGATAGTTTAAGGCTTTTACAGTTGCTAGTGCAATTTTCCCCAAAATTTCTTCTGGAATTCGATCATTTAATTTATCATAGATGAATTTGTAAAATTTGTCCAACGATGTATCCATTAGTTCCATTACGATCCAGCAGTCCCCCTGCAACACCCATCATGGAGAAAAGAAGTTTTAAAATTTCCTGGCAATTTTTTACAATTTAATTCTAGTCATTAAGCAAACAACGTGTTCTCTTATCTTTGAGTCAACATTAACATTACTAAAGAAATGCATTTCTAAGCCTAATTCTGGGAATCTGATAACAATACTTGTGCAAACACAAAAAGAAAAATTACATTGCGCAACCAACCTCCTTAAACAGCGCCCCATAGAACTGAACAATATAATGGCACTCATTGCTTTTCATCACAACATCCAAATCCATTAACAACTGTTTTTGTTCCTTTTCATCGACCGTTGATCTTATCCTTTTCACAGCAACCACAGTATTTGACTTCCTATGTACCATTTTATTAACAGTCCCGAAACCCCCTCTCCCAATTTCACCAATGTCCTGCAAATCATCTGATGTAAAATCGTACGTCTTCCCGGCAATCTGCAGCTTTCCTGTTGAATTCATCGACTGAATTTTGAATCTTGAATCACTAAAAAGAAACACAATGTGCACCGAGCACAACCAAAACAATCGCGTTCATACCGAGTTCTGTCTATTGTGGGGTCCAGTGCGGATTTGGCGACGGTAGGCAGGTTCATTTTGGGGCGGTTGGTACCCCCCGCCGCTCCAAATTTCTCGCTGTTGACCCCAGGCTGGCTCGGAAGGGGGCGGAAGCCTCCGATGGAGTTGTTACTGTTTGGGACGGGAAAATCCATCTTAAGCATAGTTCTTCGGGCTGCAACGCGCACACAAACCAAATTTGACGAGATTATTGTTTTGAGCGCAGAAAAGGGTGCTCACCTTGGTTGGACTGATCTGCCATTTTGACCAAATTTTTTCGAACAGAAGCAGTCACTAGAACTCACTGCACTGCAAACCGGCAGCACTAAATGATCGATCTTTTTCTGAGCATAGTCTGGTGTTATAATTGTTAAAAATCGATAGACATATCAAATTTTTCTTTGAAATTCACTCAAAAATAGCCAACGCAAAAACTTGACTGCTAAACGTCGCCATTTTGGTGGCGCATGCGCGGAAGACGAGCATGGCTGCCATCAGGACTTTTGTCAAAAATTGCCAAATTATTAACAGAAATTGTGCCGTTTTGAGGTAAATCGCAGTTTAAACAAACCAAGAAGATTTAATTAAGCCAAATGTTAGCTTTAGTTGTGCATGTTGCATGTTAGTGAAACTGATCTAACCTCAAATTTTGACAAGTGTCATTTGTTTGCAGCCCCCTTGTACAAAAACATGGCATGTCTCAGTACCCTAGTTACTACATCGAACCGGTCCATAAAAAAGAAATGCAAGAAGATTTAATAAAGTCGGGTGAAATACAAAAACTAGCACACTTACCGACGAAGGCGGCCCGTAACGACCAAAGTTCTTCATTCCGACAAGATGATTTAGTCAAGTAAGAACCACAGTTCGTACTATTGTGTAAATTTAACCTTATTTGATTTAGCCTTTTCATCAATTATGTCATGCGAAATGGCGAAAAAGTTCTAGCTCGGGGATTAGTCGAAAAAGCATTTGAAAATATCAAACGAATCCAGTTAGAAAAGTACCACAAATGTGACGATGAGGAAAAAAAAGCAAAAATCGAATTAGCTCCACGCGTTATTTTTCATCAAGCTGTTGAAAATTGTAAACCCATTCTAGCTTTAACACCCATTAAGAGAGGAGGTGTCCGTTATCAAGTGCCTGTACCCATCACACCAAAGAGAAGTCAGTTCTTATCAATGAAGTGGTTAATTGAAGCTGCTAAAGAAAAAGACGCGACTATGCGATTTCACTATCAATTAGCATTGGAGTTAATTGATGCAGCCAATAATAAAGGACGTGTAGTGAAGCGAAAACAGGATTTACATAAACAGTGTGAGGCAAACCGAGCGTATGCCCATTATAGGTGGAGTTAAGTAGGTTGAAATAAAGAATTTTTAATAGGTTAACAAACGAATATTTTATTAAAACCTGCGACATCTACAATACCGTATCGTGTGCACAATTTCAGTGTATTTTTTGATGAAAATTGATTCACTTTGAGGTATAATGCATCTGTGATGGATGGCTGGTTTTCTGAAAATGGCACCAATTCATTTGTAGGTATTACAACATCTTTTCTTGTTCCCCAAAAATCGCTATATGCAAATTTCACCAAATCACTCTGTTCGTTGGAGTACACAATTCCTACTAACTTATTAGTGAAGTGACCAACAATGTATAAAGGTATCATGCCACCCAGCCCTAAAACAGTAATGAGTGATAAATTGCCTTGCGATAAAAGATCTAACTGATTTAAAATTGCTCCACTGGGTAGTGCTACCGAAGTGAGTAAAGTCTGATATAATTTCATTCTGTTGACCATTCCAGCGCCGTTTATATATGGAAATTTATATATTGCTCTAAACTCATTTTGACCTGTAGTTTTAGCTTGCGTCGAAAAATTACATTTTGTAGCTACCCTTAATAACGGAAACATTTTAAATCTAAAAAATTATTAAATTACCAAGTTGGATACAAATCTAAAATTTATTTGTACCTTTGGTGCGTAGTTTACATAACCTAATTGTTACACTTTTAAATTAATCGAAAGGTTGTTTTTTGTGTTTATTTACAAACTTCGATCTCCACAAATTCTTAAATATGCAAAAACTAACATTTTAAACATAACACGCTCATATATTTTCTTGTTTCTTGGTTATTTTAAATACTTATCGAATTTTCTAACCTAAAATACGATACACATGGTTTGCTGGTTGCGCGCGCACCTGTCGTGACATCGTGACCTTGGATCAGCTGTTTTAAGCCTTGATTACGCCACTAAAAATTATCAGTGCCCCTATTTATTTTACATAAAATACAAAATATAGAGAACACAAAAATCGTTTATTCCTGACAAAAAAAGCTGCGGCCAAGTGCACTTTGAGTAAATTGAAGTAGTTCTCAGTTACATAAAAACTGCCTAGTTTTCAAAACGAAATCAAATCAAACGTTCCGAATCAATGCAAATATTTGAATGTCACAAATTGAAAAAATCAAAACTGAGAGAAATATGAATTTAAGTAAATGGATGCAAATATATAAGCACAGTTATAAGTATTACGAATATGTGGCGGCAAAAATTTAAATATGAACAACACTAAAGTCTATATTAGAAGTTCAAATCATTAATCACGTCTATGGGATCGATGGTCCTTATCTGAGTGAACTCCTCTCAGTTTTCAGCTTTACGCCGTTGTAGTGTCCCGGTTCAAATTAAATTTAGCGCCACAAAGAATGACATTTTTTCTGTAATGTAGATTTGATTTTTCTTGATGAGCGGTGGGAGAGATTAAGATTAATTCAAGCAGTCGTACTGTGAGGATGTAAATCCCTCGTGTTAAAGTCACATGTGTTTGAGATTTGTACGTTTCATTTATTTGTAAAATTTGACCGAAGGGCCAATTGGCAGTAGATTAGAGGGACACCATCGTTACCTCCAGGTGTAAGTGTAAAGTTTAATATGATTTTTAATTGATAATAATTTGTCAATCTCACGTAATACGATGGCGTCTGGCCATTCTGCAATTCGACACATTGTATTATTATTGTTTAGCTTATATCTAATAGTACTATATTGCTAACTGTCCTCAAAAGATTCCGAAAACATAACGGCAGAGCAATATATCGGACCTCTCTGTCTCTCTGTGGTACCAAACAGTACTGCGCATGCACTCGTACTTGGTTGATTTGTAGTGGATAGCGTGACTGGATGCGTTTTGACATTTCGTACTTTCGTTTCTATTTTGTGTACATGCGCATAGACCCTCGGTACTCTTATAGACAGAAAACAACATCTTCTGTCTCTCTCTGTCCGTGAACACCGTTTCTATGTTACTTCCGAAGTGTTAGCAATATAGTACTATTAGATATATGTTGTTTAGGCTAACGTTGACTGGTCAGCTGGAGGTTTTCCCGGGCCGCGCTGAACTTGTTAAAAGCGAGTCTTGAAAAATTATACATTTTATTTTCTTATATGACGACAAAAAAAAAAACAATATACCAGGAATGTTTAAATGCAACATTTTATAATATTTTAAATTACGAAATGTCTCAGGGGATGGATGGTTCTTCTTAAATTATTATTTCAATTTAAATAGATTCCCGTCTAGTAATTCTAACATAGTTTTTGGCAGTATTCAAGATTTAAATTTTTAAAGATTGAGTCGCTTTGGAAATAATCAGCGAAATAAATGTCTTCGTGGATTCGAAAGAACAAAGGAGATTTTATACTGATATTGACCCTTTTCCTGTAAGATCGTAAAACTTCCATAGTGACTTTCCGTGCGCACGCATCTTCAAAACCACGTTGGAAATAGTCTCCGTCACTCCGGCAGCAGAGCAAAGGCCTGTGACAACAAACCGCTTTGACAGAATGCAACCGGCTACACATGCGTAATCCGTCGCTCATTGGTCAATTTTAACTTGGCGCTCCAAAAATCTGACTTCGCCTGCGCGATGTTGTCTCACTCTGTACCATTGGAATTTATATAATGTCTACTCACTTTGCTTACAGGAAAAGGGTCAATTGTGTTATGTTTTATGATTCCAGTTTGGAACATTTATTCTCAAACGTACCTCTCAAATCAATGTACAAACCGAATGATATTTTGTGTTTTTAACCATATTAAACGTGTGTTTTATGTATTTATGTGTTGGGGAATTCGATTCACGATGTACTCTTGTTTCATTAATTTTGTTTAATTGAATTCGGTTGGCTACTTCGGCGCAAGTCAAGACTGACTAATTTTTCCTGTCATTCATATGGCTGTTTATTCGTATTATTCGCATACTGGATGCCGCCAACTGGTAAAGGAAACTTTACTGGGGGTAGCCAGTGTCGTGTGTCACGCGGTGGATGGAGTATAGTTACGGGATAACACTTGAAGTAGCTGCCTCAGGCGCCAGCGAACACAGCATGGAGATAGCGTGGCGTTTGTGGGGGCATCGCGGCTTGGTTGTACGTAGCTGTGGTAGTGCAAAGCAATAGTCCGATGGCAGTTACATCGTTTTAAATAATCAATGGGGATTGCTTTTTCCATTTACCTTGGATATAAATTTACCAACTAAAGTCGCGATCTTTTCTATAGAACCACTCCCTAGTGTAAATTTTCAAAATTTGTTTGGTGTAAGTGACCTTGAGGGGTTTCTGGGGGAAAATATATGTGTCAAAAATTTGACAGATTAGATGGCCCCATTGTTAATGTAGATATTTTATTTTAATAAATAGATGAACAGAACATACAATTTGCACAGGATACAGTGCGGCATATTTGAGGGCAACCAAAACATTCGTGTTGTGCTAGTTTCGATTGCCATATCAACTACCGCTACCAACCGCGTTCGGCGTAAAGTACTAGATGACAGGGCTACCAACTTGACTTTTTATCGAGTGGTTCCGTAGAAATGACCGCTACTTTAGAGCATTGTGTACCTTTAAGAACAAGCTGTGTTTATGTGGTCGAAATTTGTAACTCTTACACTTGACAGAACGAGAATTTTGTAATTAGAAATGTTGACAAAAAAAAACAAACATATTTTTGTGTTGTTAATTTCAAGGTTACTCTTCCACCTTTGCGGTTCACCACTTGCATCAGAACGCATTTCGCCATTCAAAACACAACGTAGGGTTCCACCACTTGATGACGATCACAGTTCATGGCCACTTTTCGACTTTTCGCGGGTTTTCAAATTTTGTGCGCATGTCTCAATTCTGGCGGAATCGTGTTGCGACTAAGTTATATGAAGTTAAATTTCAAACAAAGAATTTCGATGATGTTAAATTGTGTTATTTGAAGTGATTATATGTCAAAATGCGTGACCAAAACGAGTTTCTCTTTTCATGACTTAATTACCATTACCAACCCCCCACCACTACTAACTTGATGATAGACGTTCACGAGCTGACATCCTAAATGAAGTTGCACATGATTGCGTATGTTTAACGATTTTCTTACTTGATTTTTCAAATTCAAATGCTGTTTCGCGGCGTTTTTTTTTTCTAAGCGCGAAATTTGAATTCACACTGGGACCCCACAACATATCTATTAAATATGATCGAAATCATAATATGTAATATCACACTTCGCTGTGAGAGGAGTGTCTGAAAATTAATGTTCAAAAGTCAAGTCCTACAACACATAAATGGTAACACCAAATCGCCATAAAATATCCATTCCTTCTTCAAGTCCACGATAATTCAACTGATAATTTTCAACGGATCAGTGTTTAAAATTAAATCTTGAATATTACAATTTCGAGTATCTCGGATGAGAATTAATGAATTAAATTATTAAGTTTGAATCAGTGAATGTCTTACACGTGTTATACATATTAACATTTACATTGCTGAATAATTATTTTAACAGCAAAACAATTATCTCTAAAACATTTTAAAATCACATTCACAAGTATGTCAAAATTTTTACTTACTACTTACACATGGGGGTAACGATGGCATTCCTTTAATTTACTGTATCAAGTTTTCAAACACATGTGACCTCAGGCCCCATAGTGACAGTACGCCTTTTCTCCTCGATTAACTGAATCGAAGTGAATAACCGTTCAGTGGGGACTGCGGAAGCGAAAAATCCCCACTACATTTTTTTTAACTAAAAAGTTATTCTTTTAAGGTGTTTTTTGTGATTTTTGTGGCGCTAAATATAATTTAATTAATTAAACTGCAAGCTCTATGCCATGACACTCAACCCAAGAATTTAGGGACAAAATGAGTTTTTTGTGAACACGAGTGTAATCAATTCTAGGTTCTATATTTGTGGTTTCTGTTTAGTAGTACTGCCTCTCTTTTTTCCCAACATTGAAATGGACCCATACAAAACAGTCTCCTACTCTCATGATCAGCCATTTGGGAATAGTAGTAAAACTTCGTTCTTTTTTCACGATTTTATTGAACTCGTTAAAGTACAAATAAATGAGCCCAAAACCCAAAATATGTATATATTTTTATACAAGTAAAAGGATATATACATACAAAAACTGAATTTTTACAAAAACGTTGAATATCAAAAGTTGCTTTTTTCTATTTGGATGCCTTTTTTTACAAAATATATTCTATTATGTATCCTATAAATGTGTATAAAAATGTCATTTGTAGTCGTTAGCGATATCGATAAGTCCATATAGTTATTAATGCGTAAATGTGTTATTAAAAAATAGAGGATATACCACTGATAGAACATTCGATCCAATTGCCATTAAAAGTCAAGAGGTAAAACGTTTTTAACAAAAGGACACCAGTTAAGTGTACTAAAATCTTAGGAAGGTAGACTGTTCTAGATATAAAACTTTACTACAAATCATAACCGTGTCCTTGCTAGTGTCCGTACTCAACAAGACAATTCAATCATGTTCTTTCAGTATACATGCTCTATCCTCTTGAATGCCGACATTGCCAACTAATAGCTAATTTAAAAAATATAAAGTACGATGGAAACCCTAGAATCAAATTAAGCGAATTAACTTTTATATAAATAAATGCAATCAACTGTTAAAAATACAAATTAATTACTATAAAGCACGATTAAAATAATAAAAAACTATAAATAAAGAAAAATAATGAAGTTCATTCAATTATTGATACTGATATTCTGAACTAAACGTCCAATTTTTACAAATCATCCGACAATAGCGATTCTTAAAAAATCTAAGTACTAAGAGGGGATATACAAATATATTTACAACAAATGCGTAAAATGACGTTTTTTTTTTAATTGGGAGCGTCGTCACCGTCCATGGCGTCATCCTGTGTTGTGGAATCGTCACCAGAGCCATTGCCACTCGCTTGGATTGAACCTCTGCCGCTGAGTCTACTGGGCAAACCCATGCTACCACCAGTACCAGTGCCACGCCTAAAATGGAAGCAAAATTGACCCTTGCGTTCTTCTCAAATGCATTATCATTAGAGGAAAAAAAAAACAAAAAAAAAGTCAAAGCAAAAATTGTTAATACCATTGCACACATCCAAAACCATTTTTAAACACCACATACCACATGATCACCACGAAGACTATTCTCGTTCATTTAATGCTGAAAATATCCAAATGTAAATGAAATAAAAGAATCCCAAGAAGCTACTTTATGGATGACAGATGAAGACAACGAAAGTCGGCTTGTGTAAGTACAGATATATGCTCAAGCTGCCTTTCAAATGGATGGAAGCATGATACCAAGAATAGACAAGTGGACAATAAGACTTACCTAAGTTTGCTTTTGAGGTTGTTAAGTTCCCTGGTCATTGATTCATTACTCTCGAGCATATCTTCATAATCCCTCTGTACTTTCCGCTTCTGAGCCTTTTCTCTAGTGATTTCCTCTTCCGCTTCATCTAACTGTCTCTTCAATGTCTTCACTCTCGAATTGGCCTTATCGACTTGTTCTTTATACTGGTCGGCGTGGCGGCGCTCATCTTCCAACTGCATGACTAGCTCTTTCAATCTCTTGTCCAACTTCCTATTGGTCTTTTGCTGTGCCAATCTTTCCTTCGCCTCAACTTCTAGTTGTTCTTCCAAGTTACTTATCTTACTTTCAAGGGCAGCAATCGTGGCTTTCGTCTTGGTTCTCTGAGCCGTCTCCAATTCAGTCAGTTTCGCTTTAAGTTCTTTATTCTGTCTTTCCAGCAACAACTTATGGGACTCTTGTTTCTGAGCCAAGGACCTCTCGGTAGCCAACTCAGAAGTCAACTGTTCGATAGTCAGTTGTGCTTTGCGGGCCCTATCTTGCAGCAGTTCGTTGTTACTCTGTTCTTCCTCTATTTCTTCCTCTAGCGTGGCAATTCTGGCTTCCAGACGACGTTTCTCATCAATGAGCAACGCTCCTTTACTATTACTATTGTTTACTTCTTCTAATAATTCATCACGTTCCGCTTCGGCGGCACGTCTCGCCCTCTCGGAAGCAGCATGATCTTCACTCAATTGAAGAACTTCCGCTTCTAGAGTCTTCACTTTACGTTCGGCTTCTTTACAACTTGCAGCCAGTTCATCACGCGAAGCACGAGCTTCCTCCGCATCCCGCACGGCTTCCTTGCATTGTTGTTGCGACTTCTTCAACTGTTTCAAAGCATCTTCTTTCATCTTGCATTGTAATTCAATTTGAGCCTCTAACTCTTTGAGGTCGCCTGAAACCGCAAATGTTATTACTGCACATTCAAACACCTTCTACGTACCTTCAAGCTTCTTCCTCGCGGTGACCGCAGCAGCTCTCTGTTTTCTTTCTTCATCTAACTCGGCTTCAAGATCACGCAATTGTTTAACGATGCCTCTACGCTTCTCCTCGGCTTGTTCTTCTTTAGCTTGAACATCACGTTCAAACTGAGCCCTCAAAGCTTGCATGTTGACCTCCAGTCTTAACTTCGCGTCTTCAGTCAGTTGAAGTTCGTCTTCTAATTCTTCATTTTGAGCTTTCAGTTCGGCTAGTTGGGTTTCTAGTGACCGTTTGGCCTTTTCTAGTTCGTGCACGTTCTTATCGGCAGTGCCTTGATTGTTGACCAGTTCGTCGAGTTCCGCTTGCAACTGTCTCTTAATTCTTTCTAGCTCTTCGACTTTAACGTTGGATTCATCTAATTCACGACTCAGCGACAAAACTCTGGTTTCTTTTTCGCGGGCTTCACGTTCAGCGGCATCCTTTTCTGCCATCAGTTGCTCGCTGACTTGCTTTTCTTCAGCTAGGACCTTGTCGAAGTTCTTTTGTTTCTTCTCGAGCTCGGACACTTTCTGTCGCTGAGTTTCCAAATCGATGTTTGTATCTTCTAATTCTGCGGCGATCTTCTTCTTGCTGCGTTCGAGTTTATCGTTGGCTGCAGTCAACTCTTCGACTTGGCGCTGCAAGAGTTCCAAGTCTTTAGCGAGTTTCTTCTTGCTTTCTTCCAAGATGGCAGCTTGCTCGGCTTCATCTTCGGCTTTCTTCTTTGCTTCGGCCAGCTGAGTGCTCAAGGTGTTGATTTGTTTTTCTAGATTTTTCTTCGCTTCCTCTTCTTCTTCGATCTGTTCTTGCAAGTTTTCTTTGTCTGATTCTAATTGACGCAATTTCGAGCTGAGGGCTAATTTCTGTCTAGTTTCTTCTTCTAAGGCGCTTTGAGCTTCGGCAAACTGCGACTCAATAGTTGCTTGGCTCTTCAACGCCGCGGAAGCTTTAAGCTCGGCTTCTTCCAACTGTTGGACAACGTTGTCCATCTCTTGTTGTAATTTTTGCGATTTTTCTTGAAGTTCCACGCGCACCCTTTCGACTTCTGTTAATTTTCCTTGTACTTCCACCAACTGACTTTCGGCTTGCTTTCTCCTTCTTTCCCCTTCTTGTCTACTAGCTCCCACGTTTCTCAATTCGCTGGTCAAGTCTGCATTTTCTGCTTCCAGAGACTGCTTTGCTTTGTCGACGCTCGCTTTTTGTTTCTTAATGTTCTCCAACTGTTCGTTCAAACTTCCGAGTTCTTGAGTGTGCTTATGCCTCATTTCAGCTAAAGTAGCCTCATGCACTTGATTTTCTTCTTCTAAGTTCTTTTTCAAATTGGCAAGTTCTTGTTCACGTTTCGATCGCAACTCCTGTTGCGCGGCAGTGGTATCTAGCGAATCCAGAAGTTCGTTCTTCAAAGCTTCCAGTTCTTCGTTAAGATCGCGTTTTAATTTTTCCGCTTTACTTCTAGCGGCTTTCTCGGCTTCCAAATCTTCCTGCAACTCGGAAAGTTGACTTTCTAATTCCCGGAGAGCTTTCTGAGATTGAGCTTTCAAAGCACCTTCTTCGTCCACGCGAACCATGGCCTGTGCCAACTCCTCTTCTCTTTTACCAAGCTGTAACTGTAATTCTTCTAAGTGTGTGCGCTTTTCCGACAATTGTTCTTTCAAATCGTTCACTTCAGTCTCTACTTTACGTTTAGATCGATCCGATTCTTGTCTCTGTTGATGATCTTTGAGAAGACGTTCTTCTAATTCAGCTATGGTGGCTTCGTGTTTGGCTTTCAATTTGGCTAAATGCTTGGCTTTTTCTTCTTCTTCTGCCAAAGTTTGACTCAGGTCGTTACTGCGTTCTTCCAAAACCTTCTTTTCTTTTATAAGTTTCTGATTTGTATCGTCGCTCAAAGCTAGATCTTCTTCTAGCTTCTTGATTTTGGCATCGCATTGAACTTTCTCTAGTTGTAGCTTCTGTCTCGCGCCTTCTTCTTCTTCGAGTTGTTCCTCCAAATCTTGGATCGTCAACTGCAACTTCTTCTTGTCGTTACTGAGGGTATTGGCACGTTCTTCCTCTTCCTCAATTCTTGCTTCCAAATCGTGAAGAATCTCTTCTAGTTCTTGCTTGCGAGCCGTCAATCTAGCACGCATTTCTTCAGCTTCGGCACACAACTCGACTTCTGCTTGCAGTTGCTCTTGCAACATGATTTTCTCTTCCTGGGCTTGCTGGTATTTCGTTTCGTACTCTTTCGCGGATTTAATATGATGATCCAACTTATCTTTAACTTGCTTAAGTTCGTCTTCCTTTTGCATGAGCTTTTCTTCTTGTTTGGTGACTTCCAACAGTGGTTTGACTTTGGTGTAAAGCCTCCACCATTGCCAATTGCGGAGTTTGAGGTAAGCCGAGCAATTCCTTTGAATAATTCTGATGGCATTCAACTGTTGGACTCTCTTCTGGTAGTTTCTTCTAGACAAGAAACCTCTGCAGAAGGCTTGGAAGTTGACGATCAAATCAGTGATCTTGTAATCGCGTTCTTCTTCCAGGTGTGCCAACACTCCGGCTCTGAAAAAGATCTTCGACTGACCGATTCTGTAAAGATTTTGATCAAGCTCTAGACTTTTAATCATGGTCTCACAAGCCTTCTTTCCATCCATGAAGCCTTTATTAATCACGTTGGGCGTCAATAACTCGTATCGTTGTCTGAATTCTTGGAAGGGAATTCTGTTGGGGAACCCTTGCCTACAAATTCTTATTCCCTCGAGGACACCATTACACCTCAACTGGTCCAAAACTAACGGGGCGTCGATCTTCCCGGCACGTTTCTCATGATTCGGAATAATACAACGAACGAAGTTCGGGTTGGTATTCCTCAAAGTGACCATCAGGTTAGCCAACTGCTCTTTGTACAAATACGAAACAGTCCTAAACATGCCTTTGGCACGTCCTATGCTCTCCGCATCCTTCCAAATATGCACGACGAACGGATCCTGGGAAGCCTGCAACAAGGACACCACATTCTCGTTCTGCGGATCCATGTTCTTCATCAACCACTGGTTGGCGCAATAATCGACCTTCCCGGCGTAATGAATGATCGAGAAATCTGCGACTCCTCGGAAATCGCTCTTCTTGAACTTGGGGTGCACCGAGTGCGCGCTAACGAGCTTGTCGACGAAAGTTTTATCCGTGGCTTTCGGGAAGAGGCACTCTTCGTCGAGCAAAGCCATAATACCCATGGGTTTATCGATGAGATCAATCGTGGGCTGGAGATCTAGGCCGAAATCGATGAATTTCCATTCGATGCCTTCCCGCTGGTACTCTTCTTGTTCGAGGATGAACATGGTGTGGTTGAAGAGTTGTTGGAGTTTCTCGTTCGTGTAGTTGATGCATAGTTGTTCGAATGAGTTCAGTTCGAAGATTTCGAAACCGGCGATGTCGAGGATTCCGATGAAACTGGCACCTTGACGTTTGGTGCGGCCCAAGGAGCGGTTAATTCGCGTTACCAACCAGCGGAACATGCGCTCGTAGCAGGCCTTGGAGATGGCTTCGACGGCGAATTCGACCTAAAAAGAATTGTAACGTTCGGTATTTGGGTTATTTCTAGCTTATTTTTGTTGTATCATTGACGAACTTTTTTGAGTGTATTGTTTTTTATAATTTACATGTTCAGTGTAATTCATAGATTTATAGTGTAAATATTTATGGTCGTCGAAAACTTTGAAAACTTAGGAGAAAATTCTGTATCAAAACGGGAACAGAAGTCATGTAGGCCAACAAAAAGAATTTGAATCTCAAAGGAGTGCTAATCAGCCAAATACAAGAAAGATAAACCAAATTTGATAGCAAACGAGCCATAAAAAACCTTTAGTGACTAGAGGATCGTTTTTGTTTCAGAAATGTAGACAATCAAATATAGGAAAGCTTCGTAAAATCTCATTTATATAACGAGCGATAAAAAAGATCTCCAGTTACTAGTTTTCGGAAGCGTAGGTCCGAGAGAACCAGAAGCAGAAAGATATCAAATTCAAAATATGTACCTCAAATAAAGAAGTAATACGCAACAATATAAGTGAAATAACCAGATGATTCAAGACCAACCGAGAAGCTGTATAGAACAGCAGAAGTCAAACTCAAATACAAGGATAACGACAGCCGGAAGGAAGGACTCGAAAACAAAAGAAACATGACATCAGATGATGGAAGCGGCAATTCTTGGCCATTAAACTGGTCAGAGGCTTTTAGAGGGTCTAAAGTAGTTAGCTCTAGACTTCAGTCTTGCATGAACTTTACCAAAAAGAAGAAAAAGTAGTACAGAAATACCATTTAACTTTTTTATTTTTCAGATTTTGCAATTTTTTTAAATAAAAAAAAATGGAAAAATTAGCTTTATTAACTTCACTATTCATAAATTATTGAAATTTTGCTTAAAAAATTCTGACTAACGTTGATCGCTAGTGCGAATTTACGTAAAATTTGGTAAAATACTGGATTGGATTGAAATGAAATAACTTCTGAGTTCAAAAAAAAAAAAAAAACTTCACTACGTCCGCAAACACGTGTTTAGACAACACAGCGCAGAAAATGCTTCAAGAAAATATTATTTTACAAAAGCAAATAAAACGTACCTAAAGTAATGTTGAACTTTACACAGCATTTTTTTCTCAATTTTATAGTAAAATAAAAATTCAAAAAATTTTGTTGTGACGATTGTGTTAATTATTTTGCTGTCTATCAATTATTGCATGTTAATAAAGTGATGGATACATAGAATTCATTCTTCTTTATTAATAAACTAAACTCCATTAACATAGTTTCACAAATAAAAAAGTTATTAGAGGTGTCCTCTTTTAGTTAGGTCACACTAAGTACATCAACTTCTGTTTCAAATCGAGGAGAGTATGTTTTTTCAGTGCGTTAAATACAGTATCTTTTAATTTTTCAAGAGGGCAGAAAGTAATATGTAGTTTGTTTGGTTTAGCTTTACAAATTCCACTTTAATACTAATATCTCAACTATATTTATTGATATTTTCATGATTTTAGTTTTTCCAGAAATGACATCAAATTATTTTTCCAAATAGAAGTAATATGTTTTTAATCCGGTTAAATAAACATATTTTTTTTTTTTTTTCAGTGATAAAATACGTGATATTAATTTACAAAATAAAAAAAAATGCAACTAATTAGTTATAAGTAGGGACAACAAAAGGAAACATTAATTATCGTGATTGATTGAAGATTTGAATTTGTAATCTTAAGTTATCAAAATTTTGTCTTAGTTTTTTAACTGTACTATAACTATAACCTCATTTTTACTATTTATGGGTAGTACTGTTTAGTTTCCTGCAAAAATTTACAATTTTAAACATGTTTAAGTATCTTGTTGTGAAAGGAAGATTACGAGTAATAAGGAGCTTATTTTTACATTTTCTTTTTTGTTAACGTACGTAATTTTTTTCCTACAACATTATCCTTAATTAATTAATTAATCATTCCAAGTTTTGAACTTGTCTTTTCAAATATCTGAGATATTAAAGTGGAGCAGTTCAACAGAAATGCCATTATTAAAATTTTTGTGTAAATAATATGACCAAGTACCACATCACTGAAAAAAAAATCTATTCAACGCAATTAAAAAATATATTAAATACATATTTCAAAAATTACAATTTGATGTCATTTCCGTACAAGCCGAAAGTAACACAGCACAGTACGTAGTAAGTAGTTTAAATTTTAAACCTGCCTTTTCAAATAACTTGAGATATTCAAGTGAAATAGATAAACTGGGACACTTGGTACACATATAATTTTATAAATTAGTGATGTTAACGACGATGATTCCTAACTGTAACTTGTGCTTAAAGTTTTCATCATGATACACAAAAAACACAATTTTTTGGCAATGCGTATAAAAATACGTCACACAATTACTCCGAAAATTACTACTGAGAAAGATATTTTATATTTTGATGGTAAAGTGAGCGAGAAATTTCGAAATATCATTTTACTAACTATGTTGCACTGCAGAAATAAACTAAACAAAAGTTCTAAATGTGAAATAAAGTTATATATTTATATAGGTTGTCTAACGATATTCCGTTTTTATTGCTCTGACTTTCTAAGTAGTGACCATAAACATACAATAGAATTTTCTAAGCAACCCTCACCAACGGTCATCAGTATTTAAAAGTGAATTTTAAGTACTTTGCCAAGATGGACCGTAATGAAACTAAACAGAATTTACAGCGGGTGGTTATTGGGGGTGAGACAAGTTAAATACCCATAAAGCAATAAGCACGGTCATGCTAACATCTATGTTCACCCTAAACATTATAGGTAATGACCGACTTAGTGTTAATTAATTCTTAACGACGCCCAAGTTTTTCGCCTTAAGGTTATTAGTTTAAGATGCTCATTGTCGTTGACAAGGGGGACGTTAATGTGAAAGTCGTAAAACCACTAATTTCGTATAACATTAAGAAGTCGCACATTTCTATCACACCTCAAAGAAATAATACAAATAAGTTGGCATACTCAAATTTACCTCTTCCTCGCAAAACTTAAACACTACTTTCATGTTGATGCTTTCCGGTTTAACTTTTTTTTTTTATCACGTTACACATGATTTTAAAAATTGTACTAATTATCGTGAATACTTAGATACATTTCACGTACTTGCTATACTCAATTTGCCAAAAAGTTGTTAAGAAGGTCCTGATGTTTCCCTACAAAATGTAGGTGTTTCAAAATCTTAAACCTGATTATGAAAAGAGAATGATTTATTTTAAGTGGTTTAATCAAACAATGAACAATGATCTTCTCAGCCACGGTATATAAACCGGCAAGATTGAAGGATGTGGAGTGCAGAAAATTATTTTGAAGGAACGCCATTCCATCCACAAAAAATCTGAGTTTGGACTATTTGGGCCCATTTTCTTTAAGAAGTCAGTTACAGCTGCGAAATATCAGAACATGCCACAAGAATTTATTGCCCAGCTTGCTCTTGAAGAATCGCAGAATGGATATTTTCACTGATAATCGAAATAACAAACCAATTTACTATGCAATTTCGTTATCCAACTCAAACTTTATCGTCACAAAAGTTCTTTTAGTGAACACCTGCTGACTACACTCCTACAGTTACGCACAAAACTGACCCCACGGCTCTAAAATGTCAAATTGTAAAAGCAGTGATTAGGCTATCAAATGCGACAGCTGGTGACGTAGATGTGCATTCCTGACAGGATTACACAAGAGGTAATCTTTTTATGTATCACGTAAATTTGGAAGCTGAGATTACTGATAATGAATACACTAACCGGAACTCCATCAATGTCTAATATTTTGAAAGATAGTTACTCCTCATAATTAAATTATATGGATTTGAATGAAAAAAACCTTGAATTACCTGTTCTTTGGTCTGACTCTTGGTAACGAAGTCTCTTCCGACCTTAATCCTGGGCTTCAAGAAGGCCTTGGTCATGTCGGTGACCGACAGTCCCAACAAATGGGCGATTTTCTGGGCGACCGTGTTATCGGGCAGCGTCGCCTGGTCCGAATTCCGGTCCTGCTTGAACTGCATGGTCCCGAAAAGCATCACAGCCGACACAACTCGGAAAATGGCACTGAAATCCTCGTTGGTCATTCCCATGATGTTCATACTCTTGACGGTGGCTTGAAATTCGGCGGCGTCGTCTACACCGGGAACTATGTGATTGTCCTCGCGAAGGAAAGGATATGACTTGGGGTCCTCCAGAATGAACTCCTCTGGAAAATAATTTACATAGAAACAGGTGTCAAGTTTTGCGAGGGTTCAATACTTTTCTGGTCGGTGGACGCTCCAGCCAAAAGCTGGTAGAAGATGTGGAAGGTTCTTTCCTGTTTGGCTTGTCTAATGGCACGTGATTTCTCAAGAAGATAGGTTTCAATGTTCGCCCCTGCGATGTACCCGGAAGCGTCGAAGTTTATCCTTATGAATTTACCCTGGAACGGGCACGAGTGGTAAGTTGGCGATTATTTTGCGAAAAATTCAACTTACGAATCTGGAAGAGTTGTCGTTTTTGATGGTTTTGGCATTTCCGAAGGCCTCGAGGATGGGATTGGCTTGCAAGAGTTGTTGTTCTAGACCGCCCTGTATGTTAAACAATTTTTTTCGTTTCAAAGTAATCGGGACGTGAAGTCAATATGCACACATGATGATAAAGTAAATACACATCGTCCTTCGTTCCGACATATTTGAATAATGAATAATGTTAGGAAACACACACACGATGGAAAAATGGATGAGTTTACCAGTTATTATCTAGGAATTTTGATTAATGAGACCAGTTATTCAATTATCTTGAATGCAGGAACGATAACGAACGATTTTATTAATTGGAGGATGGTTACGTGCGACGGACTTCTACTAATTTACTAATTTAGTACTTTGGTTTTAGTACGATTTTCCAACTGATTTGACACACATTGAACTTACATACCGAGAATTCTCTCGTGGGACTCTGCCGTAAGCATGTAAAAAGTAAAAAAATAAATAATTACATGTATATTTTCACAGTCGCGCACACATCACTACCAACTACTAGCTCAGTGCTTATAGTGTACTTAAAATAATTTTTAAGACTACTTACAATAAGGTCTTTCTGCTGTGCTCCGAAAGAACGAAACAACACATGCAAAAGAAGAGAAAAAAAGAAATTAGAAAAAAATCCCCACGTGCTTTGGCATTCATAACAGTAGAAATTTGCTTGCAGCAACTGTATGTACAGTGATAGCATCATGCCAATTTTGTACATTTCCTAGATGCAATGCGATCGAAACTAATTTCAAAACTTACCGCTCCTGATCCTTTGGGAGATTTCGATGCTGCCACGTAGGCCAAATACTGAATGACTTTTTTCGTGTTTTCGGTTTTTCCGGCACCAGATTCTCCGGTACAAAGAATTGACTGATCTTCGCGTTCTAAAAACCGAAAGATCAGTAAATTTTGGCAAAAGTACAAAAATTGTATTTACCTTGTAACATGGAACGGTATGCTGTGTCCGTTATGGCGAAAACGTGAGGTGGTACTTCGTGTCTTTTGATACCTTTATACCGTTCCATAATTTTTTCTGTGTAAATGGGGAGCTTCTTGTAGGGGTTTACGACCACACAGAAGAGGCCAGAGTAAGTCTGCAAAACAAGAAAAAAAGTTAGTAATTAATTACCCAGTCTGTGCACATTTTTGTAGCGCTCCTTCATTACAATTCCCTCTATCCCTAAGTATTAAATTACGATTCAGGGTGTGCCCAATGGAATATTTCATCAATAAAAAAGCTAATTTAAGTCAATTTCGTAGTTCTACTAGCAAATTGTAAGCACGTAGGTTGTTTATAATTCACTACTTAAAAAATATAGTTTCATAAAACCCACCATCTTGCAAAACTTTACGACTACTTGGACATTTTTTTAATTACTGCATACTGCAAACATTTAGAAAATTTCTGAAAGAAAATGCAATACCGTTTTGACTCAAATCAACAACTTATTTAATTTTATCAAATTTATGGAATTATATTCTGCCTGAGACTTTTGAAACTTTGTCAGATGTTCATATTTCGTGCTTTTAAGGTTCGAGCCCATTGTGGGAGTGCAAACAACAATAAATTTCCGTAAATAACGAACATTAAACAATGGCCATCTTGGCTCATAAATATTTTTATGTATCCTGGTGAATAGTTGGTATGTGAGTCGTCTTGAACAAAAACTGTCACCACTCACATTACGGCTTAAAATTTAAACACATACTTTTTAATGCCATGATAAAGACCAACTTCGTTTAGTTCGGTTTCTTTTCTCTACCTTATAAAGTATGTAGGTCAATTAAAACTGAAGTAAACACATCAAATGTAACATTTCTCCAGTATATATTTTCCGAACAATTAAATCGGATTAAAAGTTTATTGATAAACGCTACAAAATAGTTGTTTCGACACGATATGACATTAATAACAGACATTTCACATATAAGGATTCTTTTTTTATTATCAAAATGTTCACTGCGAGAAAGATGAAATTAATAAAACGGATTTCGATTTGTTATCGTGACTAACATAAAATAAATATTTTAAGATTTATAAGTAAATCTTGAAAATGTTTTCAATGACAGCTTTAATATCTACAAAAATAAGTAAACTGTTTTGACGTGACAGTATATTCGATGATTACTTAATTGGAAATTATTAATTAATAATTTACTTCAGCTCCTAGCAAATAATATTAAACATCGTTCATTATACCGAGCCACTAATAACGGGATATAATCAACCATCCTTCAATTTCCTTTATAGTTCAACATTATTTACAAAAAAGTTTTTGCATAACCGGTCAATTAAAATTTAAATTGTAATTTTAGATTATTTTCACTCTCAGAATATGTTAAACACGTGCATTCATACAACTTATACAATTACAAAGCTCCCACGCGTATTTTATTGTTTTTGTATTTAATAAAAAGAGAATTTTATTACTTTATTATGGTTTTTATTTTATTTATTTTTTTTTTGCATATAATCAACGATGGATTTACAATTTTGTTCTAATAATTTATACTAATAATTTATTGTTTTGTACGCTGAAAACAGTGGTAAAAAACGCATTCCGAAATTTCCATAAATAATTGAAATGTTAAAGATACGTGATGAACCATTTCACTAAAATTTAAAAAATGATGCTTTTTTTACACTGCCCTTGTGTTATATACAGACGGTTGTAGGCAGGTTATATTTAAAATTTCATTAACAATAACCCAGTCTACTAATAATGGAGCTATTACATTCTGAGAATGTAAAGTTTCATTAAAATATAAACGAAAGCAATAATAACAATTTAAGTATTTTTATGTAACAATCGTAAATATATCTATTTATTAAATTAGTGTTCACCGTCTAGAGAAAAAATTGCCGATCATGTGAAACCAACCGCAACGATCGTACATTAAACCACGTCTAAACTTTTGAAAGCCACTAATTTTGTTCACGTAACAAACCAAGACAGGATTTCGAAGCACTTTTGCCCACCTGAACTCCGAAATTAAATTATAGATATCTGGTGCAGTGGCGGCAGATCGGAAAAAGCGGAGTAGTTAGTGCTTTATTCAAGTGATTTTAAGTACAAGAATAGACGATATGTCTTAAGTATTTTAAGCATCCAAAAGTAACGCCAGCATCATTTATGTAAAGGATAAATGAAATGGGTCTGAAGTAGAATCCTTGTAAAACACTTGGATTTTTCATTTATTTAGGTTTGCACGAGAGAGCTACTTTTGAAATGAGTCAACATATTGACATAACGATAAAATGTCCGAATACTACTGGTGTTAAAAATAACAGTAAATAAATACTAATAAAAATTTAAAATTGAGGTGGTCAATATAAAATGCAACTGGATGTTACAACATCTTACGGTAAGTAAAGGTAAAATTGGTCTAAACTTCCCTGGGCCCTGAAGTAGGGTCCAAGAAATCCCGTTTCTTTGAAAGATTTTAACAACATTTTATTTTGCGATTTTTGTTTTGTAATAACCATACAGTAAAAACCACTAGAGTAAGTAAATAACACCCCCGAAGCCCATTCTATAGAAGCGTGGTCCACACAAGTGCAGATAATATGAAATATATTCTAAGTACATGCTTAATTTCGATTGATTATGTTTATACTTCGAAAGAATTCGACTATTAAACACGTACAGTTAATAAGCATCAGTGGCATCCAATCAAAGTATGCCTTTGCGTTAACAGAAAATAAGTTTGACTGATTTTCCCTTCTCAAAACAGAGAAAAGGAGTAATCAATAAGGGCGGGTGGGCGGGGCTAGTACTTGCTCAGATCAGACTGATTTTGGCAAATGCCACACCCTCTGAGATAATAGAGGGCGGGTGGGCGGGACTAGTACTTACTCAAATAAGACTGAGTTTGGCAAACGCCATACCCTCTGATATAATAACACTTGCTAAGATAAGATTGGTTTTGCCCCTATTAAACTTGTAAAAACTTGTTAAATTTAAAAGGTGTTAAGTTGCATATTTCCATAGTAACGAGTTAAATTCCTAAATCTGATTGGGTATTTATCTTTCAACAACTCCGTCATTAATTTTTCTGACACACCCTGTATAAGCAAATATTAATTATATATAAAAAATCACAAGTAATGACTCATTATATTTTGCACATTTAAGATAGGCAAAATTTTGAGATGATATCATCAATTTTTTGGAGAGGATAAGAATATATATACTTATTGATTAAAAATGTATTATGCTTACCATAAGTTTAAAGCATCTGCAAAGATTTCAAATCATTCAATGTGGCAGATTAACATAATAGGAATGAAAAAGTACGTAGGAACTAAATTGCCATGGACATAAGTTGATTTGTTTTTAAAAACGCGGTAGTCAATACCAAAAGTAACGACTTTAGAAAAACAAATTTATACAGGGTGACTAAAAAATGGCGCACCAACTCAACAGTAAGTAATAAGTTCGAAAAAAGGGTAATTAAAAAATTCCTTACGTCAAATTAACGTTCATTTGCAAAAACAAAATATCGATTTAGACATATAAATTAAAAAATGAGAAAAATTAGTCGCTCTTAGATTTATTTTGATCAATTTTTACATTTTTTGTGAGATTATAAAATGAAGAAAACTATGGCCAAAGACACCATACATCCAAAATTAATAATAAGTAGGTAATAAATGTCCGATCGATTTAATGTAGCTAGTAAGTAGTGAATTGGTCAAATAGTTAAAGACAGTTAGGGCCTTCGGGAAAGTTTCAATTCTTTGTAATGGCATCATCAAACTGTTGGAGATGATTGGCCAAATTTTGGTTAGCTTTTTACCATCTAAATGATGTTCTTAATATACATACAAAATTTGAAAACAATCGGCGCACTAGTTTCGGAGATTATATGCCTAATAAAAATCGACACAGACAGATGGACGGACAGGCAGACTGAAACAAGAGACCTTTTTTTTCGTACTCTAAAGGTCATGAAACTTCGAGAAAACACGAAACTGGAAAGTCGCCCAATGGACTCGCTTACTATTCTTAGCATAAGCTCGGGAAGTAAAAATGAAACCTGGAAGGTCGTCTACATATAGACCCAAGGATTTTTGAAAGTGTTTTTTGCTTGACGTCATAAAGTTAGTGCACAATTTTTTAATCACCCTCGATTTTATAGTTGGTATTTTGGAAATTAAGCTTATGTATGTAATGCGGGACCAAATTTTACTTTACTCTCAAAGAAATTTTGTTGCATATTCAAAGCCAAAGTAACCAAATAACGCACTTCCTCCATATTTAACGATAACTGTAAATTTTATCGTTACTTATATTCACAAAAGCACCAATTGATTATATTTTTTTTTTGTTTATTGAAACTTCGTTAAAAATAAAGTGTATGTAATTTCCGGCAGTTGCGTTTGTTACTGAAAACTTAATATCTAATATAAATTTTGTGACATACTAAAAATTCCAAACTACTATTGATTTTTTAAAATAACAAAGGGGGTATTGGTCAGTTGCGCGCAACGGTCAGTATACCCAATGTAGCTGGTTTAATTCCTAAAAAGGTCATTATATGACACTTGCGGACTATAAGGATTGCCTCGTTTTATTCTCCTGAATTATAGTTCCATCAATTCTATAGTAAGTTTAGCAGCCCAGGGATGAAAAAATTCTAAAACTGCCCTAGTCTACACCGTTTCTGATAAAAGTTAATATATTACCTAGATATATTAGGTAATTTAGTTAATATGTATACAAACAAGAGGATCAGCAAATGAACCCATTCGTAGAAATTTAAAATTTAAAAACAATGAAAAACATTTTCAGTTCTATAAATAAAGTGCAATTTATTTTAAAGTATTTATGCTATTAATTCTTAAAATCATTTCCAAATGTTACTGACCGCAGCGCGCAACTGACCCTATGATTATCTGAGATAATTTATGCCTTGTGGGATTAAGAAGTATTCTGAAACTTAAATTGTCCATAAAATGTATTTAAACAAACTTGGTTGTAAATACAAATTTTAAAATTAATTTTTCACACTTCGATATCTGCAATTTCAACAAAATGCAAAATCGTCGTACAATATTTTCCGATTTTTAAAGAAGTCGTGGAATAATTTC